AATGAAGGCAGATCAATAAAAGTAAATAACGAAAAATTCATTTACATTCCCGTCTGGCAATTGGTGTTATTTGGAGTGTTTGTTTTTCTTCGCTAAACGGCTCTCTTTCTTTCGAATCGCGTAAATCAGATTCGAAAAAAATTGCGATTTGAATCGATTCAATTCATAAATCTAAAAGGGGCATGCCTACTCATCAGTCCGCTTTCAGGGTCTTCATCCAATCTCACTTCCGTCGGGATATGTTTTGGCTATTTAACTCTCCCAATGTTCGGTATTTTAGTGACTTCAACCGCCTCAAAATTGATAGGACAAAATATCATCTAACCCTAACGTACTTCTTCCTTATAGTGTTTAGATTTTTAGTGACCTCAGCCACCTCACCACCCGTCGGAAGAAATTCCATCCACTTCTTTCTGTTAGTGTTCAGCTTTTCAGTGACCTCCGCCACCTCATTATCCGTCGGAAGAAATTTCATCCATTTCTTCCTTTTAGTGTTCAGCTTTTTAGTGACTTCAACCACCTCATTATTCGCCGGAAGAAATTTCATCCACTTCTTCCTTTTAGTGTTCAGCTTTTTAGTGACTTCAACCACCTCATTATTCGCCGGAAGAAATTTCATCAACTTCTTCCTTTTAGTGTTCAGCTTTTAGTGACTTCAACCACCTCATTATTCGTCGGAAGAAATTTCATCACTTCTTCCTTTTAGTGTTCAGCTTTTAGTGACTTCAACCACCTCATTATTCGTCGGAAGAAATTTCATCAACTTCTTCCTTTTAGTGTTCAGCTTTTTAGTGACTTCAACCACCTCATTATTCGTCGGAAGAAATTTCATCAACTTCTTCCTTTTAGTGTTCAGCTTTTTAGTGACTTCAACTCACCTCATTATTCGTCGGAAGAAATTTCATCCACTTCTTCCTTTTAGTGTTCAGCTTTTTAGTGACTTCAACCACCTTATTATTCGTCGGAAGAAATTTCATCTACTTCTTCCTTTTAGTGTTCAGCTTTTTAGTGACTTCAACCACCTCATTATTCGTCGGAAGAAATTTCATCACTTCTTCCTTTTAGTGTTCAGCTTTTTAGTGACTTCAACCACCTCATTATTCGTCGGAAGAAATTTCATCCACTTCTTCCTTTTAGTGTTCAGCTTTTTAGTGACTTCAACCACCTCATTATTCGTCGGAAGAAATTTCATCCACTTCTTCCTTTTAGTGTTCAGCTTTTTAGTGACTTCAACCACCTCATTATTCGTCGGAAGAAATTTCATCCACTTCTTCCTTTTAGTGTTCAGCTTTTTAGTGACTTCAACCACCTCATTATTCGTCGGAAGAAATTTCATCCACTTCTTCCTTTTAGTGTTCAGCTTTTTAGTGACTTCAACCACCTCATTATTCGTCGGAAGAAATTTCATCCACTTCTTCCTTTTAGTGTTCAGCTTTTTAGTGACTTCAACCACCTCATTATTCGTCGGAAGAAATTTCATCCACTTCTTCCTTTTAGTGTTCAGCTTTTTAGTGACTTCAACCACCTCATTATTCGTCGGAAGAAATTTCATCACCTTCTTCCTTTTAGTGTTCAGCTTTTTAGTGACTTCAACCACCTCATTATTCGTCGGAAGAAATTTCATCCACTTCTTCCTTTTAGTGTTCAGCTTTTTAGTGACTTCAACCACCTCATTATTCGTCGGAAGAAATTTCATCCACTTCTTCCTTTTAGTGTTCAGCTTTTTAGTGACTTCAACCACCTCATTATTCGTCGGAAGAAATTTCATCCACTTCTTCCTTTTAGTGTTCAGCTTTTTAGTGACTTCAACCACCTCATTATTCGTCGGAAGAAATTTCATCACCTTCTTCCTTTTAGTGTTCAGCTTTTTAGTGACTTCAACCACCTCATTATTCGTCGGAAGAAATTTCATCCACTTCTTCCTTTTAGTGTTCAGCTTTTTAGTGACTTCAACCACCTCATTATTCGTCGGAAGAAATTTCATCCACTTCTTCCTTTTAGTGTTCAGCTTTTTAGTGACTTCAACCACCTCATTATTCGTCGGAAGAAATTTCATCCACTTCTTCCTTTTAGTGTTCAGCTTTTTAGTGACTTCAACCACCTCATTATTCGTCGGAAGAAATTTCATCCACTTCTTCCTTTTAGTGTTCAGCTTTTTAGTGACTTCAACCACCTCATTATTCGTCGGAAGAAATTTCATCCACTTCTTCCTTTTAGTGTTCAGCTTTTTAGTGACTTCAACCACCTCATTATTCGTCGGAAGAAATTTCATCCACTTCTTCCTTTTAGTGTTCAGCTTTTTAGTGACTTCAACCACCTCATTATTCGTCGGAAGAAATTTCATCCACTTCTTCCTTTTAGTGTTCAGCTTTTTAGTGACTTCAACCACCTCATTATTCGTCGGAAGAAATTTCATCCACTTCTTCCTTTTAGTGTTCAGCTTTTTAGTGACTTCAACCACCTCATTATTCGTCGGAAGAAATTTCATCCACTTCTTCCTTTTAGTGTTCAGCTTTTTAGTGACTTCAACCACCTCATTATTCGTCGGAAGAAATTTCATCCACTTCTTCCTTTTAGTGTTCAGCTTTTTAGTGACTTCAACCACCTCATTATTCGTCGGAAGAAATTTCATCCACTTCTTCCTTTTAGTGTTCAGCTTTTTAGTGACTTCAACCACCTCATTATTCGTCGGAAGAAATTTCATCCACTTCTTCCTTTTAGTGTTCAGCTTTTTAGTGACTTCAACCACCTCATTATTCGTCGGAAGAAATTTCATCCACTTCTTCCTTTTAGTGTTCAGCTTTTTAGTGACTTCAACCACCTCATTATTCGTCGGAAGAAATTTCATCCACTTCTTCCTTTTAGTGTTCAGCTTTTTAGTGACTTCAACCACCTCATTATTCGTCGGAAGAAATTTCATCCACTTCTTCCTTTTAGTGTTCAGCTTTTTAGTGACTTCAACCACCTCATTATTCGTCGGAAGAAATTTCATCCACTTCTTCCTTTTAGTGTTCAGCTTTTTAGTGACTTCAACCACCTCATTATTCGTCGGAAGAAATTTCATCCACTTCTTCCTTTTAGTGTTCAGCTTTTTAGTGACTTCAACCACCTCATTATTCGTCGGAAGAAATTTCATCCACTTCTTCTTTTAGTGTTCAGCTTTTTAGTGACTTCAACCACCTCATTATTCGTCGGAAGAAATTTCATCCACTTCTTCCTTTTAGTGTTCAGCTTTTTAGTGACTTCAACCACCTCATTATTCGTCGGAAGAAATTTCATCCACTTCTTCCTTTTAGTGTTCAGCTTTTTAGTGACTTCAACCACCTCATTATTCGTCGGAAGATATTTCATCCACTTCTTCCTTTTAGTGTTCAGCTTTTTAGTGACTTCATTCTTCCTTTTAGTGTTCAGCTTTTTAGTGACTTCAACCACCTCATTATTCGTCGGAAGAAATTTCATCCACTTCTTCCTTTTAGTGTTCAGCTTTTTAGTGACTTCAACCACCTCATTATTCGTCGGAAGAAATTTCATCCACTTCTTCCTTTTAGTGTTCAGCTTTTTAGTGACTTCAACCACCTCATTATTCGTCGGAAGAAATTTCATCCACTTCTTCCTTTTAGTGTTCAGCTTTTTATTGACTTCAACCACCTCATTATTCATCGGAAAATATTTCATCCACCTCTTCCTTTTAGCGTTCAGCTTTTTAGTGACTTCAGCCACCTAACTACCCGTCGGAAGAAATTTCATCCACTTCTTCCTTTTAGTGTTCAGCCTTTTAGTGTTTTTTAATTTTTCACCTTTGGGAACACTTGAACTTCCGTTTTCCCTCCACTTCATCCGTTTCTTCCGTCAGCCTTTTAGTGTTGTCCGATTGAAGTCTCGTGTAGTTTCGTACCTACTTCTGGTGGGCGTAGAATAACAATATTTGCATGTGTCAATCCTAACCCCCACCTGACTACGCCATCCAAAAATTACGTCTCTAAGACGTCACAGTGACGTAATACAGTCCCTTCCCATACTTCTAGTGAGCGTATCGCAATAATTTCGTATGTATATTTGACAAGCTCTATGACGTGATTGTGACTGTATTTTGTTTGTCCCTTTGTTGATGTTTTGTGTTTTGTTTGTATCAGAGTGACCAAATAAAATTGATTGATTGACGTCGTAGTGACGTATTTTTTAAATGGCGTAGTCTGGTGAGGGTTAGGATTGATATTTCAAAAAATTGTTATGCTACGCCCACTAGAAGTGATTTAGGTGCGAAACTACATGAGACCCGTAGTTATTATAGCCGGTTATTCGATAGCATTTCTGTTCTATGTCAGTACTGCAGTATGTAGGCCTACAGATGTATGTAAATCTGTACCGGTAAATGTTCATATCTTGTTTCTGTCTACATGTGTGGATCATACATTAAGAATAACACTTGCAGCCTTGTGCAGTTGTGTATGAGTCAGAATATTTATTACAGTACGGTATTACTTGATTCAATACATCCATAAAAAGTTGAGGGTCTCGTGAAGGTGGAGCAAACACTGTAACTGCTTAAATACCCTCAAACACAAATGCGGTGTGAAAATGAATGCTTAAATAAAGCCAAACAAAAACATGAGGCTAAACGCATGGGGCAACGGGAGGCGAAACCTTTTCGCATTTTCGATGGCGACGTTTTGAGACGATATGCAGATATGGATGTGATTTCGACCTTTTTACGTTAAAATTTCACATCACATTTTTATTGGGTGTTATTTGAGCAGTTGCGGAGTTCATTTCACATCACAATTTTGTTTATGCGTCATTTAAGCAGTTACTGAGTTACTGCGTTTACTTCACTAGACCCAAAGTTGCCCTTCAGCCCTTGGTATTAAATCAAATTTTAGTTTGTATATTTTCAAGTTGCCAACTGCTAGTGGGAATTATTATTGCCTAAGTGCGTGGGTGCTGAAAGTGCACCTTATTCCATTGCTAGCCTATAAATGTTGACATTGCCATAAGAAGTCATGCTGCAGATTGTGTTTTTACATCCTGATCTTGGTATTGGAGGTGCAGAAAGACTTGTCGTAGATGCGGCTTTGGCATTGAAGTCTAAGGGACACCGTGTTAGTTTTTTGACATCACATCATGACAAATCTCATTGCTTTGAAGGTAAATCTATTTTCTTATTTTCTATTTCTGTATTTGTGATACAGGTATCAACATTGTAGTTTGTACCTATAACTTATGTTCGATTCCGAATTTTTATACATTTAACACATTTTCTATTTCCTAGAAACGAAAGATGGGACGTTCTCTATTACAGTTGTTGGAGATTGGATTCCTAGACATGTTGGGGGAAGGTTTCATGCTGCCTTCGCATATTTAAGAATGATCTTCACTGCTTTTTATCTTGCTTTGATTTCAAATCTTAAACCTGATGTTATTTTTTGTGACCAGATATCGGCGTGTATTCCTATATTGAAGTTAGTATTATTAATATTCAAAATTGTCAGGTTTTCTGCAACTCAAATAATAATATTATCTGTTGTTATGATTAAATGAGTATGTTAATTTAAGTTAAAGTTTGGGGATTTGTTACAAAGTTGTATAGTAATCAATATTTGCGGTTGTTGCCTTGTTGATGAAGTTTAATGCTGGAAAAGGCTTATGTAGTGTCATAAGATAATATTATTGGATTTCATATTCTTTTACGTTGACTATGTGAATATACCTTCCTGATAATAAACTTTCATTTTCAGATATGGAACTGGTGCAAAAATCTTGTTTTATTGTCATTTTCCTGATCAACTTTTGACAAAGCGTCAATCATTTTTCAAACAATTATATCGAGCGCCATTAGATTGGCTTGAAGAAAAAACTACTGGGATGGCAGATTTGGTTCTGGTCAACAGTCATTTTACAGGTAATTCATTGGCATTGCAGTACTAGTTTTAATAGATCTATATATTTCGAATAAAAATTCAACATTGTCGTTAGTCAAACATATATAGTACAGTGTAATAATACTCATTTCAAATTCCTATTTGGGTTTGAAACCAGTTCTTGTAGCAAAAGTATTTTTATGTTTGAAACAAAATAACAATGAAAGGTTAATAATTTTAATATTTGAGAAATGGCGGATAATACAAGTAGTCAACTTTTTTCCTACAAACTCAACTCCAACATTTTTTACCTAAAAGATATAACTTGTGAAATTTAAAAAGCAAAAAATGTTATATTCTATCCCCGTAAATCCATCTCCAGCTAAAGTCTTCAAAGATACGTTCACATCCCTCAAGTCACTGGAAACACATATTTTATATCCAAGTTTGAACACAGAAGTATTCGATGATGCAAAGCAAACGTATGGGAAGTATCACATAAAACGAGATGCATTTCCATCTGATGCAACCTGTATATTTCTTTCAATAAATCGGTTTGAACGAAAAAAAAATTTATCATTGGCTATCTATGCAATGGGTAAGCAATGTTGATTTCAGAACCTCATGTTATTGGATATGTGATTCGAAAGGAAAATGAAATGGCCAGTATTTAAAATCTTTGTAGGAGTTATCATTCTTGCATTTTACAATTGAATGTTGGCATACATACCCTAAGAAATATTCCTAGCTAAGTGTTAAAAGTTGGTTGCTTAATTGATTCATGTCAACTAAAAAGCCCTTGAATGGCTGTCTGAATGATCTAAGTTTTAAAAATGCTGTTATTGTAATGATGTTCTTCATATAGTAACCATTTCTATTATCTTTTTAAATTTTAATATTTTGTTTATAGCGGAATTGAAGAAATTATTGTCTGATGCCGAATGGAATAGCGTTCATCTTGCAATGGCTGGTGGATATGATGAGAATTTAGCAGAAAATGTTGAACATTTCCATGAACTACAAGATTTACTAGGTTGGTAATTAGTAGTTGGAATTATTTTTTACCGTTCATCATCCATTGCTGTATATTTAGCCAATTTCTACTGATTTTTATATTAGTTGAACTGTTACACTGTTCTTATTTTTCTATTTGTTGGTATGATGTTTCGAATCGTGTTTTCAACATTTGAAAATTGGACTTGCTTTTTGCAACTTTGCTCAAAAAGAATTTGAATTTAATGAAGTTTTAATACTTTAACCCTCAATTTTCAGGTAAACTTGATTTAAGTGGAAAAGTTTCATTCTTTAAATCAGTATCAAGTACAGCAAAAATGGCTTTGTTTAAATCAGCCTCTGCGGTTATTTATACTCCATCAAATGAACATTTTGGTATTGTGCCATTGGAATCGATGTATATGGAAGTGAGTTACGAAAATTGTTACTATGAAGTTCTACATAATATGCATACATCATCGTATGTACTAGTCCTTTGATTTCATGTGTATAGAAGTAAATCTTAGAGGAAATCTACCTTTGTTGAATCTAAAAAGCAGAGGAAAGACCATTCCATATGTATTTCCAGATGAAAAAATATTTTTCTTCTTTAGAAACCTGTTATAGCAATGAAGAGTGGAGGACCTCTGGAAACCGTAGATAATGAAAAAACAGGATTTTTGTGCGATGAGAATCCAATTTCGGTAGCGGAGGCAATGTAAGAGTGCAATATATAAATGTCGTTATGTATAAAATATATTTTGCTTTGGACACTAATATAACTGCCTAAAATACCAAGTACTTATTAAGCCATTAATTAGGTGAATGTTTTACCTTATCTACATAATCTGATGAAGAGCAGCGTGACAGGAAAACTAGTGGTTTATTAATATTGTCGATTGGTAATAGAAATGATGTTATTGGCTGGTGTAGAGTGCAATTTTGAAGTACTGTCTTTATTTCATCGAGTTTTCTTGTTATTCTGTAGGGTCAAGTTCATCAAATATCCTGACCTTGCGAAAGAAATGGGATCAGCAGGAAAACAGAGAGTGAAAACTCATTTTTCATTCACATCATTTGCAAATACATTGAATGGAATGATACTATCAATAGTATGATTAACACTACTTACTATCAATATATATTATGATAGTACCCCAGGAATTCCTGACCCATCAGAAGTGCATCTCGAGACTAAAGAAAATGCATCAATAAATGACATGTCCACAAATTTTTCTTTCATCTGGACTTTTTTAATATTTTTCTGTCTTTAAATACCTTCATACTGAAATGTTTTCGGTTGAAAATGCTTCTGAGATACGCTGCGCTAAAACGATGTTTCTTAACCTTGCATGTATTCTGCTGAAATCAATTCCGTAATTTCGCTCACATAATTGCGATAGTTTTACTTATATTGCACTTACCCATTTCTCCAGTCAATGAAAGTATGGAAACATGACGATGTGTGTTGCAAGCATGCGTGATGTTTTACTTACATTGCACTTACCAATTCCTCTAGTCATAAAAGAATGGAATCAAGAAGACATGTGCTGAAAGCATTGCAGTACATATAAATAGGCTGAAACTGGGCGAACAAATAATTGGACAAATTGCCAAACGAATAAGCAACATTGCATTGGAATAGACAGCTATTATTTTCAGAAGCGGATGAAAGTGTAACTATTTTTCGTTTAACTTTTTTTTCATACTTCGTTGCAACTTTGTCAACAAAGAACGTTTTCATAAATTATTGTTCAACTTAGCAACGTACCTGGATACCATAAATTTTATGTCTGATTTTCAATCTGAGCGAGACGTGCATTGTGTACTTGTGGAAAATTCATAAAAATACACCAGCGACCTATGGAAAATTTAGTTTTGCGATATTGTAACACAATGCGATAAAATAACTGTTCATTGATAATCGAGTTGCAAGCAGTGGCGCAGCAGTGGGGTTCAAGTTTGAACGTCTACTTTTGAAATTTTCTGACTAAAATAAGGGAATGAATACTCTGAGTGAAAGACGTTTTATAAAATACTGCAAATAAAACGAAAAATATACCATGAATTTTGTTTTAACAGCCACGCGAGAGATAAAACACAGTATGTTAGACACTGTAAATCGCCAAAATTCATGTTCTTGCGGCAGACATTATATTCGGGGAAGGCCAATACCGAATAATTGAGTATTTCGAATGCATTCAAAATTATTATTTTCGAATATGAAATATCCAAGACATTCAAAAATCAAGTGATTTACATATAATAAACAATAAACTAACTGTTATCTACAAGCATTTATGTCCGCAGCTTGCTGTGATATTTTTTATTGCTTTTATTTTTTCATATCAAATTGCTTAAATAATAAACATATGCAGTGAGTGTGGTACTTGCTAAATGTTCAATGTTGTCTTGAGGAAAAAAGTCCTTCACATCTAGTGTGGCATATTGTCCCCTCAAAGCGCACTTCTGACCTTCATTCAATATAAGAGACCCACACTGTGTATTTGCATGGTTCAGGGTAAATTTGTACGTGTGATTAATAATTTTATACGAAACAATTGTTGCTGTGCCAGCGTTTTTGAAAGACACTGATGCCTATGAAATCTTTTCTATCCTATTTGTAATTTGCAGGTAGTTTTCCAGCTGCAAATTTGATGGATGTTCACATATTATAGCAATTTTTTTATACTCAATTGGTGTGTCAGTTAGTGTTATTCATGGGGTTCGCCTACTTGGTATGACCATAAATGCGATGAAAGTCCATCCAATTGTTAGGATTTTTTATTATCTGTCCTTTATTAAAATATAAATAGACTCAAGTTAGTAATGAGATCCCTATTAGGTATTTCTGGCACTGGTGCGCGAAGAACTCTCTTTTACTAGTTCAGTGTTGAACACCTCTGTTGAGGTGGTGGTCATGCGAAAGGTCCGGTGCAACCAACGCCTTAAAAACCACTGGCAAATCATGAAGTTCTCTTGTTTATTATGGTAACATATGCATACAGTTAATCTTTTTTACATAAAATAACACACAAAGCTATATGTGAACTATGAGTAGTTGAAAATAAAAACACAAGTTGGCTGTTCTGAATTATCCAAAATAAATAACATCACTGTGAAAGTACCATTGGTGGAAGTCTTGTACCAGATGGGGGACGTCTACTCAATTGCTCCTCCATATCCATCACCTGTGACAAAAAAGTTCCCATTACTGAGTATTGGAATTTAAAAGTTCACATACAGACAGTGGAAGTTATATTTGATAAGGAGCAGCAAATTTTGGATGCTTTAAATGTGCCCATCTAGAAACTGGTGTGTCATTGCAGTTTTTGACCTCTTTCATAATTGTTACCTGATTTCTCAGCTTTCTAATCTCTGTTTTTTGCATTTCGATGATGCGAGGAATTTCTTCTTCAGGATTTTGTCTCATGACACTTTGAGGTCCGCTTCCTCCAGATATTGCTGGAATATATACATTTAAAGATTACAATGTAACTAAATTAACTAAAAAAATTTCAGTCGAATTGCGAGAGTATTTCCATTTCAGAATATGCTCAAAATGATAGACACCTATCAGGTTAACAGGAAAATCCAGAGACTCACAGTATGTGTTATAACTAATTAGGCTTAATTCAGGATATGCCATTTCTTGTATACCGAGCTAATGTGATTGCACAAGGCATACTTATCATTCAGAAGATGAAACAAACAATGCGAGCAGACTAAATACAAACTTGTAGCTGCAGTTTCAAGTCGTCGCCCAACATTGTTTGCCCCTCTGTTTGCACGGTTGGTTCCCAGAGTGGCTTCGAGGTCGTGAACCTGAGTCCGAGATAATTTTAATTCCCGACGTAAGTCATTGATTTCTTTGATCAACATAACATTTTCCTGTTAGAAATTTATGTCATGCATTAAATATTTTAATTGGCTACTTTCATTTAACACCTAATGCAAAACAAAATATGACCTGATGTAATATTTATTGACTATTTCATCAACTTTTCTTAAAAGACTAGAGGCCTACAACAGGGATGGCGCACTGTGACCCATCGCGTTTTATTTGTGACCCGCCAAGGCACGAATAAAATAAAAATAAATGCTAACATATAATTGATAAAACCGGCCATAAATGAATCTAACAATAACTAAACTATGTACCGTCAGGGCTGCGATCGCTCATATTCAAATTGTTAAATTCTGGGCCGGTGTGGATATTTTCAAAACCCCTAATCTTGAACGCAAGTCTGTACCGTTATTCAGCTATTGGCTCTGATATCGTTTATGACATAACAATGCAATTGATCTGTTTATTATTGCAACGTCAAGATATTACGAGAACTAGATGCCACTTTGCATTTTATTAGTTTCTCGCCTACACTTGAAAAAAAACCTAGAATTCTGAAATAACAACGAGGCAGTGTAAAAGTGCCTTAATGTGGTTGAAAACTGATCGAAAAATATAACACTATCAGAGTGGAATTCCCTCCAAACTCGTTCGAACAGTAAAATAATTTGCTGCATCGTCCTAAACGTTTTTGGTAATTCATATGGGTGTTTTCGTACTCTAATTTCATAAAATCGAATGCCATAAAGAGTCCCTGATGTGCTGCATAGGTAAAGCCCAAAACTACACCAACAGAAACTTACTGTATAAGATTTGTGTCCACTGATTGAATATCTGTGACCCACTCTCTTCTTTTACGCGATAAAAATATTTTTTTGACCCACTCATCGAAAAAGGTTCGCCATCCCTGGCCTACAACATCAATGTACTATTTTCATTGTGCCCTTTGGTGTGGGAAAATGTTGTCTACACTCACTATACTATAGAAAAGATCAAATTTCTAACATTATACCTGCATGATGCGGACATTGTCAGCCCTGTGAATTTCTGTATCCTTAGAAAGTTTTTTACGGAGAGATGCCACAGATCGTTCCAAGTGTTCTCTTTGTCTTGCGTATTCTTTTTGAATATCAGCATCTACTCCACTAGATTCAACCTAGATAGTTGTAACATTCGAGTTTAATGTATAAAATACAATGGGAGACCTTCCTCATTTTAACCAGGAATAAAATAAATCTACAAAATAAATGAAAACACAGAACTCACTGTGTCATCATGCACATGTTTCTCATACGCTTCTTTGATCGATTCCTTCAACTTTTTAGGGTCTTGAATATTTCCGACACAGTTATGAAGGTCAGTTTTGATTCGCTTGATAATTGCTTCAACATCACGAACCTAGATAAAAAAAAATTCCAAAACTGATTACAAAAATCAATAGGAAAAATATTATTATGAAAGTTTTCAAACTCTGCAGTACATTATGCACCATTGTTCTAATGGTGTTTAATATTTACTATATTATAGATACCCCCGCAATGAATTACAAAAGCCATACTCGTTGTCGCTCCATACGTAATTCTTCATCAGTAGCTCTCAACTTTTGTTTATATTCAGTAATATTCAATTCCAGTTGTGTGTTCAACTTGTGGAATCTTTCCAATTCGCTTTCCATTTCCTGGCATAAAGAAAACAAATATATATTGTGGTTTGTTCATGGATATATTCATGGAAAATAAATATATATAATCTCAGTAAAAATGCAGACTCTCTCATTTTTGAATAAATTCATAAAAGCATTGCAGCAACACATCACAAATTGGATTGAAACAAGATTTGGTTGGTGCGTTCATCCCTCAAGTGTGAGAGAATGCTGAATCATCAAGTCTAAAAGTGCGCATGGAAATAAAGTCACTATGCCTTCTACTACTGAGAGTGTAAATACTTGCGTATTGCTGCAATTTACTGATAATGTAATGATATTTTGTTGTCAGTACTGCATTGTTTTAGGGTCAGATACTAAAAATATTTTATATTGTATATTGATATGCTTAAACCTATGAAATTGTGCTATATAACACAACCAAAGATTAGTTTTCTTCTCATAGTTCTTCTAATTAAAACTTGCAGTTTTGCATGTAATTTTTGAGTCAACGTGGCTGTTTTGCTTGACGTTTGAAATCCAACTAACGCAAGTTCATCAAACTTCCAATTACTAATTGTTTTTACCTGTATTTGTTCTCTCATCAGCTTAATATCATTCTCTCTTGGCTCAATTTGTTTTTTCAGTTCTTTGATTTTATAATCCAGAACAAACTTGAATTTTTCCAATTCTTGATTTTTCTTCTTCAAATCGTAGATTCGTTTCTCCTAGTTTACCAATTTAGAATGGATTCAGTCGAAAAAACGCATTAAAGTCAACTGAATGTTGAATCACCAACTGCAAAGCTATTAAAGTTTATTGTTGTTCTTCATGTTTTAGGAATTAACACGCGCTCATATTGGAATTAAACTAGAAATTGGGTCATAATTTGGAAAGTTTATTTTGCTGTATATGGAAGAATAAATATACACCAAATATGTTGAATGAAGAATAACATTTTGGATTAACAATTCTAATTGGATTAGCATATCACAACAACAACAGCAAGTATGGATCCTCACACTGACAATGATAGGAGTAACACAGTATCATAACTAGATTTTACTTTATCCTGGATCGTTTCATCTCTTTCTTGAATTTCTTTTTTTAATCCATGAATGTCTTTCTCAAGTGATTTAATGACATTTTCTAATTTCTGTTTTTCTTGTTGCATTGTTTTTATTTCCTCATTTTTACTGTCAATTTCTTTGTTGAGGCTGTTGAACTGTTGAGAAGTAATTGATTAGTTTATTGGGTGCTTGGACAAGACTTTGGACAGAGACTTAGACAATGAGTGTATCCTTGTCCAATGGACAGAGCACTAAAGATGCAATAAAGAAAAAATAATGAAAAAATCAAAGCTATCTATAGAATTAAAATGTGGTGCAAAGGGAAAAATCTATTTAAGAATTTAATGAAACATCAAATCCAATGTGATAGTAGTTCATATTAATTTCAGGAAAATACAAGTTTTCGTACCTTCTTTCTCATGATGCCAGATTCTCCTTTCAATCTCATATTTGTTTCAATTTCATCTCTCAATCTTCTCTCATATTTATTTTTAATGTCAAGGATTTCACGATCAGCATCTTCCTCGATTTGTTTCTTTGTTTCCTCATATTCCCGATTTTGTTGTCTTGCTTCATCATTAGCCTGCAAGGTAAGAAACAAAAAATGATAGCAGTGGAATAACTTATTTACATTAGTTCCAATGGAACAACACTTTAAACACTCAAGTAAGAGCAATTATGAGGATGAATAAGAGACTTCTTACTTGATCCAGCATTGTTGACTTTTCTTGCAATTTAGTTTCATAAAATTCAGTCAATTCCTCAAGTGCATGTTCTTTTGAATCTTCTGCTTCTTGTAGTTGTCTTTCATAATCTTCTTGCATGCGTTGTGAGGTCGCTTGCAATTCTTGATATTTCTCATACTCGGACATCAGTTTCTGATTGTTAGTCGACTCTATGGATGTCCAGAAGCACATTGGAATTTCAGAATAAAATATATCAAATTAAATGGAACAGCAAAATTTGGGAATATATCCCAATATCTTCAATTCAAAGATAGATTGGTGAAAAGTACAATATCTATTTCCAAAAAATCATATTACCTAGATCTTGCATTTCTTTTGAATGTTTATCGATAACTTCAGCAACTTCCTCTTCATGTTTTGCTCCTTCTTTCTCCTTTTCCGTCTTCAAGACTTGATTCTTTGTTTTTAAACTTTCCATTTCCTATAATAACAAGCAATTAGTATGACAGGACTGAGAAAATTCATGATTTATGGAAACAGTATTTCATGTGCGACGATTGGGAGAAAATAACTTTAAATTGGCTATATTAATGCATGACATCACACAATAAACAAGATTCCCAATCATTTCATGGAAAATGTGTCAATAAGTAGATTTTCAGTAACAAGATACAAGCACATCCATGAGAAAATAAGTCAAAAATTATACAACATAGTCATGATATCAAATGTTTTTTAATTCTCTAGCAGGTTTTGTACCTAAGTTGTCATTGACAGTTAATGGAACAGACAGGAAAGTCAACACAGTATTTGCCAAATAATGGTAGAATCAGTAGTTTCCAAAAGAAACTCATAATCCCAAATCATTCACTACAAACCTGGATAAATTTTTCTGTTAGTTCTTTGATCTTTTCATTATAATTCATGTCCTTTAATCTCAGTTGATATTCATTTTCCATCTTCAATTCTTCTACTCGAGTTTTAAGTTCTGACATAAGTTGGTTCTGTTAAAAAATTTTGACATAAAAATATCTAGAAGCTCAAAAACACCCATCATTTTATTTTAGAAATATTACCATTGTGTTCATTTTAAAAAACTCTGATATAGAAAAACATAATAATATGTAACAGTTAAACAAAAAAATATTTTGCCTTTTCTTCCAAGTCTGATTTCGTTATGAGAATCTCTTCAGCAAATGGAACTTCTCTGTCATGTTTGACTCCTCTTCCCTCTTTGTCAGCAATCTTCCAAGTCATCAAACAAGCGTCTTCGGATACAGTCACCAAATATTGGTCATCATATGTAATTTTCATCTAAGGAAAAATAATGATCAATGATGATTAATGGGAATGTGACATGTTCTGTTGTATGACAATTACAGAAATTTATGAAAACTGTAGTTGAGAGATCTTTTTGAGTATGCATCATATAGAAAAAAGAATAGTTTGATGCATATTAGCAATAGTATGAACAATGTGGATCTGCAGAGAGTAATGGGCTGTGATATTTGTCACCACACAAGATCGGATTCACATATTTATCCCGGCCCCAATAAGACAGCTCAATCATATACCCAACCACGGCCTCTTATCCGTTTACCAGTTCATGTCGGATATGGGATAAGTTATTTGTTTCAGATGCAGTCCAGCAATCCTCTCGCACATAATTATCCCCAACAGGATTCGAACCTGCTAACCCAGGCATGGTAATCAGAGGTGCGAGGGTAAGCGTATTCATAACACTTAGCACGGTATGCTTGAAACCCCCAAGCCAAAACAAAACACGCAATGATTGCAAACTAAGTTTGGATTTCATATTCATTTTGATCAAGTTTATACGTCAGGTTTTATATGGGATCAGATGACTGCCGAATTAACCCCAGTGCACGTAATGTTTGGCGGAGGAAGCAGTTTCGGTATTAAAACAACCACTGCCATGTTGCAGCATAGAGGATGGGAATCAATGTCAATTGAGCCTAATTCTAGTAATTAGCAAGATGAGGCAATCCATCAAATACCTTGGTGATTTGTGCAGCATGAGCCTGATGTTCAGTGAATTCACCAGTTTCAGTCAATGGATATTTTATAGAACGAAGACTTCCCGTAGTTGTTCCACAAAATAACATCCTTCCAGAATGTGACATTGCAACTTGTGTTAGAGTTGCACCTCCTGCATCTACTGCCCGAAGTATCTGAATATCAGAGAAAAGTCGAAAAAAAACTCATTTTTTACACCTGAATGCTCAATATTTGCGACAAAATGTAAGAGCATCTGCATAATAAATGAACATTATAACTGAGACAAGATACATGTACAAGACCTTGCTTGCCTAAGACACAGTTGTGCAACAAGTAACCTTCACAAATATAACAGCAGGACCGCTATACAATATTCAGCTAATGGCAGGTTTATGTCTCAGGTCTCCATTGTGAATCCAGGTATATAAATGAATCTCATATAAGTCATGCTTTTTACCTGAGATTCAGTTATCTCTTTGAGAGATTTATCTGAACCAACGGCATAAGTATGTTTTCCATTTGGTGAAGCAGTAACGCCGGTGTAAGCACATGTCTTTAAAACAGCTTCATTTACACGTTTTGCAGTTGCCGTTGACCATTCGTAAACTGCACCATCCATTCCAGCAGATATCAGCTTACTGTCATCAGCAGTCCAAGCGATTGATCGAACCTGACAAAAAAACGCAACCCTATGTGAGGAGAGTCGCTTTTCTATATGATTGCTGCACTAAATGGGATGATTCAAAAATGAGAAATATTAAAAGCATGATATTAAAAGCACAGGAATCAATAAAGCCTGTCAATGATCTGAGGAATACTTTTAATTATATTGAAAAAAAATACCTTTCCGTTGTGACCTTTTAAATTTGATACATTTTCAAATGTAGTTGATGAATATACTTGGATAACATTTCCATGAACTGCAGCAAACAAATGTCCACCATTGCTGAATGCACACTGGAAAGCAAAGGTTTTTACAATTCAACATTGTACTACCCAACCTGCTAGACCTGGGCAAGGTGCAAGGCATCACTCGATTATGTATATTTAGACAAACTCAAGTATGTAATTTCTAATTTGCAGTAGTGATCAATATCACCGAGAATGATATATTGTGCACTTCAGTTCAGTATTAATTGGTAACAATCTAATCTACTCAAAAGATTCAAATTGTGCTCATAATTCACATATGAACAATTCTATTTTAAGTCACCTCTCTGCATCCACGTATAGTGAATTCTTTAAAGATACGAATATCATCAATAAGTATATTCATGAGTCGCAGTTTGTCACTGAATCCTACAAGAATATACAATCCAGAAGGATGAAGAGCAATACTGAATGCTTCCTCTTGAAACACTTTATACAATTCCAGAGAACTGAAAAATGGTTTATTCAGTATTTCAAAACACATCTGACATTTAGTTTAAATTGCGCCACAAATAGTATCATATAATTATGTGTTATTCAACAGCAGAACTGCAAATTAGTAAATTCTCTTCTTTAGATCGAGAGGAACTGCCTAAATATTCCTCTTCTCCTAACATTATTTTTTGAAACATTAATGACCTAGTTATAACTGGATCTCTTGGCACCTCAACAGCTTCTTCTGAGTATCTTTACTAATGAGTGAATGATTGTTTGTAAAGATACAAATACAATGCGGAAAATAAAACTACTTATCACTCACTTGGTTTCATAATTCCAAATTCTAACAGATCTGTCAGCAGAACATGTAGCAATGAGAGGCTTCCTAATACAAACATCTAGTCCAGTAACTCCGCTACTGTGGAACGAATGAACAAGAGGCTCAAAGAAAGCCTGATCACCTGAGAAATTCAGAACATTGATGCCCATTATTGTAAATGTTCATTCCAGTGGGCTTTGAAGAAGATTATTAATGTAACTCTAGCTAGGGAGAAGACGATTTGAACAAGGCAACAACTAAATTTCTACCAATTAATTAATTTTTGTCAATCCCACAGCATGTTGTTTGCCCAGCATCATGGTACAAATATGATAGATCCAAAACTACCTTCAAGCTTTTAAAACATTTCTCATTGACAAATTGTGGCTTCACTTAATGTATTCAGAGATATAATAACGCACTTCATACTCTCGCTTTAAAGAATCCTGCTCACCGAAAAATTTTGTGTTAGCCGGTTTTCAAATAATTTCTTGCCCTGTATAACTTCTATCTATTTAACTGTTTGCCTAAGAATGTCGACCTCGATTATAAACAGTTTTGTATAATCCAAGGCAAAAATGAATAGTTATATAATTCGTAGCAAATCAGTTGTCGTTTGCAACCCTTCTTAAACTCTCTTTCAACTTGTACTTGAATATTTGGCACTTTGTACTTGTTTGAAAAGGAATATTAATATTTGTGACAAATTCTGTATTTCGACCATAGAGTGACAGCTTATTTAATTACCTTTGCTGAGTTCAGCAGAAGACAAGGCGATGCTATAAAGTTGACTGTGATCAGTTGCAGCAACTAAACTTTCTTCACTTGGACTGACAGTGAGAGATAACACCTGTTGAGTTTCTGCTTGTAATGGATCAGTACTATGTGGATCTGGTGGTACCTGAAATAAAGGATAGGATTTACATATTTATCCAGGGGGAGTGGAAAGCCAATAAGACGGCTTAATCATATGGCGAACCACGGCTTCTCTTCCGGTTACCAGTCCAGGTCAAGTATGGGATTAGTTAGCCAGTTATTTGTTTTTTTGGAAGCACGAACTTGATGGTGGAGGAAGCCGTAACCGACCAGCGGTTACGTGAAATGCCCTACAGCGGCGAGGAGTCCAGCAATCCTCTCGCACATGACCATCCCCGTATGGGATTTGAACCCACGAACCCACAAAGGGTACTCAGAGATGCGGTGGCGGGCATATTCCTAACGCTTAGCACGATGTGCCACCCCGCCGAGCCGAAATATGAACTTGAGCTTAATTGGGTTTTGTTTTATTAAAAAATATATACATTATGATTTGAGAATTCACAGGAGTGTAACCGAAATTAGCAAGGTGTTTGTAGTAGTATATCATATTATACTGGTATAAGATTTTGGACATAGTAAAACAATTGTTGATCCAGAAATCCAAAATTGTTTAGTATGATGTATAATCTAACAAAATTATTACATCTGGTAAGGTTATGAAATGGCCTGCGTGACATTTACCAGACAATGCGTGATTTGACTTCAAGTTACCTTTACAACCCTGACTTTTCTATAGAGATCTCGATCATCAGTTTTTTCGTAGAGATGAACATTACCAAGACCAGCAGAACATGCGAAACCCTTGGAATAAGCAACAATCGATGCTACACGAGGATCTGAGGTGTTGGTTGTTGCACTTGTTGCATCTTCAGGAATGATGCTGATACTTTGTCTGATTTGAGCAAAGCACAGAAATGAAACAGATTGGAAATGCAAAAAATATAGATAAAAAAAAGCTTAAACAAAAATAACAATGAACGTATCTGCTTTGAATAATTTGTAACCATCAATTGAAACCTTTAAAATTCTGATTTCTTATATATAAAAATAAATTGTGCAGATCTAATCAGTGTCATAATCAAATGCAAATCCGTCTATTTTGAGTGATGAAAATCTTGGTGAAATATCATTACCAAAATATTTACCTTGCATCTGAAGACGTTCCTGCTGTCAGAGAAACATAGAAATCAGCTTTCATTTCCCCATTTTCAAACAAAAGTATATGTCCCGAATCATTTCCCACGACAACACGTTCATCAGATACCTTAAAGGTTGATAAAAATGTTACATGGGAAGCACAAAATAGTCTGGAGGAAAAGTAACATGTTCCAGCAAATCCCATACTGTATTTCAATAAAGGGAAAGTTTGTTTGGTATACATCATTCATGCTATTTGTCTTCCTCTGCATAAACATTGAAGCTAGAAATAACCTAGCAGCAATAGGTGTTGAACATCAAAGAAACCCCCAATAAGACACAAAATATGGTTGAAATACAAATTTCAGGGAAATTCGTTGCATAGTTCAACAACAATGTATGGTGAAAAAAATGATCGAGGGTTTCTCGTTTCTCTCAGTGAACAAATATATTGCAAAATCTACGGATTGTTTAATAAATATATCACAAAACATACCCAAGCATGAGAAAGAAAATTCTGAGGTTCCAACTTCTGAAATCCAAATTGTTTTAAATTTCCTTCAGCATATCGAAATAATTTGAAAATGTGATTTCCTGTTACACAAATCTGTGTGTTGTCTTGTGGATTAAAGCTTACCTGGAAAAATTGAATAGGTCAGCTAGTACCTGTTAGCCTGGCATACACAAAAAGTATTTCTCTTTATCATTTATATAAGTGGTTCTCAACCCTTTTACCTCGGAGGATCTGTAACATCAAATAAAATGACCATGCAGACCATCAACACAAAATTGAACTGACACAAAGCATGAATATAAAAGAGGTAAAATTTGAACGAGATCCCATTTTATTGAGTGACTTTTTTGCTTGTTGTGTTGTATTTGACTGTGTGAAACACTTCAAAATAATAAAATAGGACAATAGAATAGCCAATCATTACACACAGTTTTCAGCATATGGATGAGAATATTTAACTTTTTATCTTCTTTGTAAATAAAAAACGTCTTTAAAAATAATAAACGCATTTATGATAGGAACTTAATATGAATTTTTCTTTAAAACAGTACCAGGGTCTTGAGTTTTGTCACAAATAACTGATCAGTTTTAAAATGATAATACACATGTAGCCTTGTTGACTTTCACTGGTACAATGTTGACTAAAACACATATGTACATTTAGTGGTCTTTGACACTTGCGAGATTTAAATAAATTTTCAAACATTATTAAATGATACAAATTAGTAAACTTTACTTGATATATTGGTTGTCCAGCCTGATTTGTCGTTTTCATTGTTGCCATGACTTTAGATTTTTCCCAAACCCAATACACCAGTGTCCATTCAGGTTTTCCACCTTGAGCTATCAAGTATTTTGAGTCAGGAGAAAATGACAAGCTTACATATTCATGTGTCTGCAGCTCTGGACAAGTCAACATCTAAGTAATGACAATGCTGAGGTTAGAACAAGTTTATACATAGCTTAAATTTATCTAATACTCGAGAACATCATCCGTGATGAAAATTGAAATGATTTGAAACCTCGTCCTTGATTCGTTTACTGGATATAAATATTTTGTTAAAAAATGCACCATATAACTTTCGAATTTCTGTCCTGCATTATGTAAATGTTGTAAATATTTTCATGGTATTAGTGTGCATATGGCAGATGAAAGATAAGTAATTCATCAGTAATCGGGGTTGTTCCAAAAATTTTTATCAACAAAATAAGAATTAGGTGTTTATAAAAAGTGCTTTGCGTTTATAAGAATATGGAATACAATCTTGCCGTCATCGCTGGAAAGTTTTGATTGAAAATACTTTACAATGATTATCTTTTATATCAGCATAATGAAGGATAGTTAAGAGTGGTCACGGAAAAAGCCAAAGATAAAAAGGGACACATTGCACTCATCATTAATTTTGTTTTTCTTCTTCAGTTTTAATCGAAATCCAGCATAGTGCGAAATGTTTGCATCTCTTGTGATTTCAAGTGTTTGAAATGGTGTTTGCATAACGTTTTGTATCCATCAAAAATTAGAAGTGTGTCAATCTGTGCACGTTGGTAGGGATTTCGATTTTACTGTGCGATTTGAAACATTTCACTGCGCTCCCAGTTGTTCTCCTAGTACTATGGTGTTTGCTACAGTTCCTAGTCGTAGCACAAACATATTAATCTGCTTCACTATGATGACATTATTAACGGTTAACTCCCCTTTCGTTGAATGTTAATGAACTGAAAACTAATTAGGCTGTGGGGGATTTTAGAATGTAAGCCTATTCAGAATTCCGTGTTCAAAAATATTTTTAGGTTATATTGGTAATAGTATAGTATTGAGTTAGTTATGGAAAATACAGTAGAAACTAATGAGACATTGAATTTGCAGTGTTGTGTTTAAATGTGGCATTTTTATTTTCTATAATGACTAGTTATTCGTTATGCAAGAAAAAATATTAGATAGCCCTAAAGCCCCTAATACAGGGGTCGGGAACCCATGGCTCGGGAGCCATATATGGCTCTCTTAGCGGCGGCATATGGCTCCCAGAAAAATCTAATATTCTTAAGCTAAGCTATTATTGGTACAAAATTTCAAACTCTTTTATAGCCAAATTTGATAGAAAATTGCCAATACGTTTGAGAACGCGTGCCCATCGCATGTCTATGTTATGTAAGAGAATTACCATTGTGACATTGTGACAAAACTAAGGGATTCTGGAACATATTTGGTGACATCACAAAGCCGCGGAGCAATAGAGAAAAGCTTTTCGTCTGTTTGTATGTAGCCTACTGTTTACAGTATTTTCCATATTTAGATAGGTAAAATACTACGGAGATGCCTAAACGTGGGGAGGGTGATGAGTATCGTATATTTCAACTTGTGCCGCATGTGAGCACCATAAGCCACATAAAATGTATATTGGCATTGCATGTGTTGACCTTTGAGTAATAATTTTAGGCCTGAATGACGAAATGCTATATGGCTCGCACGGAAATGCATTGGAAAATATGTACCTTTCATGGCTCTCTTGACCGAAAAGGTTCCCGACCCCTGCCCTAATAGCTATTACAAAAATTCAAATTCTTGAATTTTGGTTGTGAGGCTATGCCAAAAGTATATTGAATTGAATAGCATTGTTATGTAATCTTTGCTGAAATGGAAATTACTATATATCCAATTGAAATGTATTTCTTAATTTGAGTTTATGAAATTCAGCAATATAAAAAATTAACACAAACTTTTCTTTTTTTCGATTGATCATGTAACAAATCAAAAACTGTAACTGTTGGTTTTTCACCACGTTCTGCAACAGCAACATATCTTCGATTTGGACTTAGAGCAATTGCTGTCATTCCTGCACATAAATTAAAAAGTGTGACACAATCACTTTGTATTATATATAAAACACATAATTATTATTCGTTATTATTATTGAATTATTATTTATACTCACTTAACTATTGCTATCTTTCACCTACAAAATGTTTTACAATCACTCTAAAAACATAGCAACCACTCAATCTCAATCAATACAGTTATGTATACAAGCTGTTTACACTCCCACGTTACAGCATTACCATACTGAAATACGTACAATTGCAAAAATGCTTGAAACACCTAATAATAACGAAAAACAAGACAAATGTTAACAAAAGTCACATTATCGCCAAGGAAAAGACAGACTTTTGGACAACATTCACTTAAAAAATAGATATAGCCTACATTAGCACTGTAGCATGAGTGAAGAAATAAATAATCATTCTATCTTAACTCACCCCGAGATTTATCCGAGCCCGGAATAAATTTTTGTTGCTTTTGATCGACATTGAATCGGACAACTTGATTTCCTGAGGGAAAAACTATGGTTTGTTCATCCAGGTAGTTGATATTTCCATTGATGTTCGATCTCAATCCAAAAATATGGTGAGGTTGAGCTGCCGCAATTGCCATTTTTATGCTGTTGTATCGAAGTACTAACAACGGCGGACTCCGCACCTAAAATAAATTGTGGCGACAGCAAGGTCCGAATGTGCAACAAAAAATTTTCACTCACTTGCTTGAACGGTTGTCATAGTAACCATCACTACGATTCACAACGCCGCAAGTGGCGACAGGTCATGAGTCAAGAATGTTTAGGAATGTTTCCCCGAGCATCTATTTCAACACAAATGTTGTCATCAGTGGCGTGCCTAGAGGGGGGCGAAGGGGGCAATCGCCCCGGGCAGCACTTTATAGAGGGTAGCAGAACGGAGCTTTAGTTTGCGTGTACACATGTTTTTCTCGACGTGTTTTTATTTAACTAGAAGCTGACATTAGGCGTTTAGACTTTTGTGACTAACTGTGGTGATGGTGAGTCAACAATTGACGTTTACCCGACTGTTGAACCCAGAAAAACTCTTCCTATATTTAGGCTCACCATACGTAGACAGAATAATCATTGAATTATTTGATTCGTACTGTAATTTCCGAAACACAAGCAAAAAAAGCAATAACTAATAAAAACCATGCAAAAAGATAATGTTTACAATCATGCGATAAAATCTGTCTGTGTGACTGCTAAAATATCTACCGATGCGTCGCTTTTCCGACGTGGAAACGAAGATTTTCCAAAAAATGTTGAAGATTTTATTGCTTCGTTTATTGGGCTCGGCTGGAATGTTTTTCATACTTCGTGCATTGCATATTCTTTATTACTCATAATTGGCTACTCAATTGCTAATTGCGAACGATCTTTCTCAAAGTGAAACAGATAAAAACATATTAAATGTCTTCGATGTCAAATCTGGGCCTGTTAAGTTTATCTTTGATCAGCATCGAAAAGAAATTTCTGACTAACGAGGTGTAAGAGCCTGTTGTTCAGACATTTGTTGCCAGCAAAGTAGCGATTGAACATGATTTTGGCTAATAAATGTATTCGATCTTGTAAATATGAGTATGTTACTTAGGTTGACGATTTATTTTTTAATAAAACAAACGTTTTCATCTTACTTGGCCTTTAGTTTATTTATTCCCATGCATAACAACATCTATAATTTGTTATTTTCACGAATTATTTTTTTGGAAGTTAGTTATAAGAGGCAGCATTATCAAAACTCGCCCCGGGCAGCAGGAGAGTTTGGCAAGCCCCTGGTTGTCATGCATTGTCTCTGATTTCAGAATGGTCCAAGATTGCGAGATTGATTAAAGTGCCGCAAAAAGTAAACGATGACGAAACAATGGTAATTTGTGTAGTCGCTCAGAAACCTCCTTCGTTCAGAGTCTCATTGACTCATTCTCGCGCTTTTTCGTATTATTTGTCAGTTATCAGTTTCAGTTGTGTTTCAAAAAAGTAACTGTAAATCAAATAATAATTTAATGGCCATTATGTCCCCGTCCACCCATGGACCGGGATTCAGTGGGACATGCTCTACGGGGCACAATTCGACAGTGTTTTCTCTATTAAATACATAGTGGCCTAGAGATGAGTTATGTTTTTTGTAATATTAGGGTTTCCTCTGATCCATAGCCCAATATGGAATATATTCTATATTCAAAAATATTTTTCAGAGTGGCTCAGGTTCGAAAAAGTAAATAATTTGCATCTGGCCGGAATTAGAAAGTTCACCTAATGATGTATAAAGGTTGCTTTTGTTTTAGTGGACGCAGTAAACAGTTTAGGGATTAAAAAAATCACACCATCGTTTTATATTCCATGAACAACACTCAAAACCCGTATTTGATGTTTATGGCCTTTTTAACGAAGAACTGTCATCGTCGAGAATGAAAGTTTTAGAACTCATTTTTTTTCAATCGTTTGAAATTAGGCATGATCCAAGAGTAAATCAATTAATTTAGAATCTGCCCCTATTACACTCTGGAAGTTATAATAACAATTGAGCTATTTGATTTGCAACTATTTTCTGGAAACATAACTGAAAACTGACAAATACTACGCAAAACTAGAAAACGACGCAATGTTCATAACTATGCTTGAATATCTGTCTGAACAAAAAACAATCTGAGCGGCTGTACAAGTTGCAATTGTTACGTGTTGGTTGACTAATTGCTGAGTGGTCATTGTTACGGATATAAACAAGGAAATCGATGCTCGAGGAAACATTTATTACAATTTTGGCTTTGCTGATCGACTCTCTTTAAATAATTTCCCATGATGTTATGTAGCAGAAACTTGATACTGTAATTAAGAAAAAAAAAATAGCAGTGGCCCGAAGCAGTAGGCTATGGGAAGATGCACCTTGAATATTACAATAAGAGATTGCATCAGAAACGAAGAAGTTTAAGGAGTAAATAGATACTTGAAAGAACATACAGCATGAAAGGCCGAAGGGCAGGAAATCTTGCCAAAATGGGCAATACGAGCTGGGCCAAAATCACAGCAGAATGGACCCCGAAGGAAGAAAAAAGAGGGAAAGATAGACCAGAAAAGTGATGGAGAGACAGCATGGAGGGAAAGTGTGGCATCATCTGGAATCTGGATGCAACTTGCTCAAGAGAGTAGTACCTGGCGTCAAATGTGATTTGGCATGAACAGCTGACGGGGATGCTATGTCCTGAAAATGTTAAAAATGGGATATCTGGTGGCTCTAATGATTTTTGAATGCCCTTTTAATCGTAATATTGACCAATCAAGATGAAATCTGACTTAAAATCTGAAATACGCTACCCCTTGATGATTGTTATGGCTGCTCTCAAAAATCGCTGAATGTTAAATCTCATGGAGAGTTCTCAATTCGAGCGATATATATGTATATTTATACATTTTCTGATGTATTTGATAATATACAAATATATATCAAAAGTTTGCTATTCAATTAGGTTGCCTTACGGGCTTTCGATCCCACGAAAACAGTGAAATCATATAGCGGACAATGATAAATTTAGACGAGGGTTATTCAGATTCTTCTTTAATTAAGTACGAAAGGGCCAATGTTTAGGGTTTTGTTTTTTATCAATTCTAAAACAGTGAAATCATATAGCGGACAATGATAAATTTAGACGAGGGTTATTCAGATTCTCCTTTAAGTACGAAAGGGCCAATGTTTAGGGTTTTGTTTTTTATCAATTCTAAAAATAACATCGTGTTTTAAAACAAGGGCTTGTTTTAAATCAAAATTTTTCTGTATTTTTAATTAAAATACCCCTTGCATCGCCGCGAAACTACGCCAAAACGTTGCACTCTGGCAGCTGCACACGCAGCCGGAATTATAATTTCAAAAATAAAAGTAAAATTTTTTATTTTGGCTTTTACCACTATTGCGTACATTTATCGCCACTTTATATCTCCCCCAAAGTCATAAGATTTTACCCGGAATGCCGAGATATCAGAGAGACGTTTTAAGTAAGAAAATCATGAAAACTAGCTCACGAGCCCACTACAAAAGCAATTCGATCAAGTGCAGCCCTGCCGCAAAACGAATGAGTTGCGATAATGAAGAATATGCTTATATCGGCGGTAATCTACTGATATGAATGATGAGACACCCTAACCCTAGCCTATGTTACTTGTAAGAGTTCTCTGATGCAAAGACGCCACAACTAATCTGTTATGACGCCATATTATGGATTTCGAGGTCATGTATTGACATTTTTCTCATAAAATGAAGTCATTGTTACGGTTAATACTGTTCGGTTGATTTATGCTTAGCAGTTAGCATACTTTGTTTTTTAAGGTTGAAGTGTGTTTTTCAAGGTTCTACCAACTCATTTATTCGATCGCATTTCAATTTTCGCAACGTGGTTTCATCCCAGCAGGGTCGTTCACGTAATGGCTTATCGGTTGCGTCCTACTGCGCCAACCACTAAACTACAGCTTGAGAAGGTGTGCATGTCCCTTCATCGATATTTGTGGCGTCTCGAAAGATTTATTGCAAATAAGAAGCGCTTGGCAAGTTTTTACATCCATTTTTCTTCAACCTATTTAATACAAAAAAATCAAATAGTACAGCCATTTTGAACAAAACAGGCCCAAAAACCTGATTTAAAACAATTGTTTTAAAACAATTCTTTTTGAACAAATCCCTACCAATGTTTAAATCTGAAATTTCCTAAAATCATTCAAGAATGACGAATCCAGTTGTAATGCTAAAGGCATCTCGAATAGCGTGGTCAGAAAGAATACAGTTCTATTCGATAGTTAACTACCGTGTTTTCCCGAAAATAAGACCTAGTCAATACCAAAATGTAATAATCTTCAATGAATTTTGAAATCCACTTTACCTTACAAAATTTATTACAATAAATGCTAATCTATATTATATATATATATATATTCCTTAATAACCATATGTAAAAAAAGATTTATTTTTTCAATTTGGCTCATTTTTCTATTTAGCTTCGCAGTCTTTAGACTCACTTGTTCATTTAGAAAGTTAATTTAATATCTACTCTAAAATAAATTAAAATGTTTGGAATATTTCACAATAGGGTTCATAATTTGGGAATAAAACAGTGAGGCTCAAATTCAGAAGAAATTTCCAATGCAGGTATTATTGTAAGTTAAAAACATTGAATTATTTTTCCGTAATTTTGCTTAAACATAACATAATACATGTCTTCAATATTGGTAATTCCAGGTAAGTTTTAATTACGTTCTCTTTGGTCTCATGTGCTTTTTCAATGGAAAGTTCAGTAAACTTCCTGACCTCCCCCATTTAGAGGAAAATGACAAATACGAATAAGACTAAAGACACAAAGAAAATTGAACATAACAAGGGTAAGGGTTACAACAAAATTGAATTCTGAAAATTTAAATCCGTTGTTTAGTTTTATTGAAGAAAAAAATACTGCCTTGATTAAAAAAGTTCACTGTAAGAAAGATATTGTCTTCAAATTAGGTAATGTATTCCATTATTTCACCAAACCTTTTTATGCCGCCCGTGACTACGTCGTGATACATCGTTCGAATGGCAACGTTCAATTTATTGATGTTTAGCTTAATGCTAGCCAAATTCCTAGGAAAGCGTTGAATAATTTTAAAGCTAACGACAAAGCAATTTCATTGGACCTGATGAAAGTCTCTGAAGATAAAGAATATTATTACCACGGGAAATTAATTATGCATGGTCCTAGAACTATATAAAAATGAGCTGAATAGAATTCTTCAAAGTAGCTTCAATGCAGGGGTGGAGCGAGGAATCATCAGCCTTTGGACTTGATATGCTGCAATACCAGTAGTTTTGTTCTTCCTCGTCTTTTGCCTGGAGCGAACTAAATTGTATTTGACTCCGTAAAAGTAGTCGAACAAAATATTTAATACTGAATATATTTTATAACAAATTCGGGGGTGGATTAAAAATATGTGTGGTTTTAGATCGGCTATAATGAGAGTTTTGATGTTTCCCTGGTGGGTTGTTTCTTTAGCGAAAGAATTGATTTGACACGATAAATTAAATTTATATTTTTATTTTCATCTCTCATCACACTCTCAGTATCACAATAGAAAAATTGAAAAAAACTAAAATGGAAAAATCCAGTGGAAGAACCCTGGGTGTTTTTCTTGTGTTGTACATCACAACAAGTTGCTTTATCGCGGAGATCCATGCACAACACCATTGGACCAGTTGGTGGAAACCAGGTGGATTCACTGGGAAAAGGTATTATAACATAGTGTCAGAATCACGAAGTCCCTGGGGTCGAAAACCAGCTTCTGCCTCAAAAAGGTACTTAGCAATATTGGAATTTAATTAAATTTAACGTCCAATTTATTGCTGGTTGAATTGATTATTATGGTAGCGCTCACATAAAATGCTATATATGTATATTTAAGATTGTGTAAATATATATTTTTGAAGTAGTGAACTCTATATCTCAAGATGTGAAACTTTTGTAATTTTTCTGATCGCAATATGTGTGTTCCAGGAACTTTGGAAATGTTGAATCCGACAGAGCTGAACTGGGACCGATTTTAATCAAGCTACTGGCCGGATATCCAGAGAAGATGAATGAGGCTGACAATGGAGATTCAGCTTACGCGCAGGTGTTGGCGGTACGTATTGGTGTTGTTACCTTATGACTTTGCGCACGGCATATGGATATTTATTCCGTTCCGAAACATGCTTAATTAATGGCGCATAAAACAGCGCCTCGGAGAAGGTTATCTTCGAAGTTTCATTGGTCACCTAGTCCCTTTTAGGGTTATTATGTCTTTTAATACCTTGGCATTTGTGGAGAATTTTTGCGCTTTTGTAAAAGTACGACTGCTGTAAGACTTTGGAAAATTGAACGTTTGTCGCAAATGGGGGTGAATGCTGAACCAGTGTTTAGTAAAATTGAGTAAAAAATTTGGCAAATCAACATGAACAAAATGGGAAATTTAACAAGAAACGTTCGTCCTATCTGTGACATTGGCCCTATTTTTCATTCATCACCCTGAAGGTAGGCAGTTAGTTCTTGTGGATCTCTGGTGGGCCCCCAGTCCTAAATTTCGCAATAACACGAGCACGCACACACCTTTTACTCTTAAAATTTTACAAACAAAAGAGTTCGGTGATCGTAGGCTATATTAGGGTTTTAGCCGTTTGGTACGTAATATGACTGTGACGAGGATTCCAGCTTATATTATAATATTTCTGCGGTACAAGTTATTTCAAATAATTACCAGTTTTAATATATAATTTTTTCTTATCAGTTTTCGTGACAGCGTTGGGTTGGCGGTACTGTTTAGGCAAGGGGTATGACAAAAATGTTTAAAATGTTATGGTTTGTAATTAGCCCGTTGTAGACCCACCTAATTAATTAAAAGAATAATGCTATTTTACATTGTATCGGCGCATTGAAAATAAAGCATCGATCATTGTTAAGCATACACTTGATTATCGATTTAAATATTTTAATTTCTACGAATACATGATGTTCTCACTCGTTGCTTTTTGTTTGAAAAGGTTTTTTTGCGTGGCGAGTTTTAGTGACCTATTACTTTCGAGTAATCCATTGCTTGATTTCTGTTATATTTCACACAAAAAGCTTTGGTTTTTGTTCCAGGATATATTGAGCTACAGAATGATGGATCAAAAAAAGGATGAACCCGACATTGTGAGTTATATTATCGTGTAATTTAAAAGTTTTCATAATCGACTAATTTGTCATATGTATCAGCATTTGCTGACCAAGTAGTCCCTTTGGAACTCCTGAGTATGCCAATGAGGTTTTTTGTACTGACAAGTCGAAATGACTATATTTCTCGATGGACATTTCTGCATTACTTTTATATACTCGCATGATAGCCTAGGGAAATTACTGACATATATTTGGAAATAATTCTATCAGCTGTTTCACCACTTTGACCACACCAATTATTGCGTAAAATTCTATGCGGTTAATGGGGAAAAGGCACTTTTGACTGATTTGCTCCTAACACTTGATAAATTTAAATCTATCCCAAGGATGGACAACAAGAACATGGTCACTCCAAGTGGACAATTGTTCACAAAAACATTTGCGCAGAAGAAATTAGCAATCGTAACATCTAGAATAGGAAGGCCTAGCCAGTTAGGCTACCAACCAGACAATTACAAATAGATCGAGTCTCGCACATTTATTCGGTGGCAATTTTCATTCAAATTCAAAAAGAGATGAAAACTATGTTATAAACTTAATTAATCAACGATTAAATGAGATTTGATAAAACCTTTTATCAGGTAACTTTTGTAATGTCTTTATTTTTTTTAGAACGCGATGCTTCGATAATCAGGATCAAGAGGACACCACAAAAATGACACCGAATATAATGAACTTTCTGCATTGTATGTTTTAGACGCAAAACATAACTGTTTATGAATAAATTGTAAAGAACATACTTTGGAAGCTTTTATTCACATATCGTACATATTATAATATCTTAAAATTCTAGCACACGTGTACATGAACAATAAATATAATAATAGAGTCTCAAAATAGTGTTGATATTTCGTATTATGAAGAAATATAGAATGGGTGCCATTGAAGTAATTAGTGATAAAATGTCTAAAAATATACAAGGCATATTTCATGTATCGATCAGTATATCCCATTTTGAACACCCGCCATATGCCCTAATAGCTGTCCTGTTCAGGCTAAGCTAAGCTCTGTAATCAGAAACTCCAAAATCGTAAGTCCGTGTACGATAGAAGAGGCTGACGTTTCGTCGAACAAATTAAACTCCAACTGTTGCCAATCGATTATACCCACAATGTAGGCTATTGGCAGCAGCTAAACCATTTACTGAGGAATTTATTTGATGAGAAAATATATGGGGTCCGTAGAACGTAGAAAGTTTATTTCGTCATATTTCAGCGACATTTCTGTGGGATAATGAACATCTACTCAACGCCCGCCAATTAAATCCACGGTTGACGGTTATTTTTGTCTGCAGCAAAGGGTTCCAAAACTGCCTAATATCAAGGTACGTTCCCGTCGACAAGTTCATAAAATTAAGTAAGCAAGTGTATAAAAAAGGACCGCAAGAGCGGTTAAATCCCTCCGATGTGATGCGTCACGAAAATAGGACTTGTATTGTGTTTTGACAATCGCTTAAGTATAAGTAACTGAAAGGTGAACAAGTTCATGGCGAGACATCACATCACATATCATGACTATAGGTAAAAGCTTTCTCTGTGGTTGTGGACTACTACAACGGAATGGCTTGATAATGAGCACAAAATTAGACACAGACCCCTTTACTCATAGACTTGATGATTTTTTTGAACTCTAATTTAATCCAATAAAACTCATTTTGACACTACAGTGAGACACAGTTGTATTTGACACTACTTGTATTACAAATTATTCTTAGGATATTGAAGTGCACAGTGTGATACAAAAATACAATGAAATCCTAACTATTTAGTAAAATAAGTACAATTCATCTTGTAAATTAGCTAATACTGCTTTTTGCAGGTGAAGGCACATTAAAATAAGAGATAATAATAATGAAACTAGACTGTGGCACAGATGTTGCATACATCATACAGTATAGTAATATACACCAGTACAGAAAGAACCATGTATACCGCAAAAGAAGGCAAATATAGACATATACATATAAACATACCAATGGACTTGCTTCATACATAGGAACCGTGTTAGATGTACTATGTTAAATGTATTTTTATAGCAAAACAACACATGTTCTAGGGATGTATACTCACATAACAACATATTTGACAAAAAGCTAGAAATATGCATTTTAAGTGTATACAACAAAGCTAGACACACTTCAATAGCAATCATGGAACTGAGAAAAATGCTGATAGAACCTGTATGAAATAAAAGCCATTCTAAAATAGTGAAAGTTTCTGAATATCATAACTTGGTGTACATGATATCAAGTCAAGATATTCATGGGTAAAAAAAATTGCACAAAATAAATTCAAGAACTTGGATTTTAAGATAATGAATTGTTTCCATCAGTATCATCAGCAAAAATTATTTATTCTGTGTAAAATCGAAACTGTACCACATTTTACAGCATTTTCATTTTGTTACAAATATTGACAATATACTAAATGACAAAATACCCAATTTGTACCGTATGAACTGCTAGAATCTGATTATCACCATACTATAAAGTAAATTGAATGATTATATAAGAAGTGCGGGTGAAATAACTATTACAAACGATCAGTCTAATAACATGGTATAGATTTTTAATGAAGACGTTTTAATAGCACTGACTATAACGAGCATAGTCTTGTCTGACAGTGAAACAAAAATTCATTCTATCTGTTGCACTTAATTTATGTCTTGAAGAGAATTATTTAACTTAAGTGCAAATAAAAAAAACTAAATGATGTTGCTCAGCGAGTTTTTATTCCAACATCAGTCTTTGATCTTTGCAAGGATGAGAGTATATTACTTCTATCCATTTCATTATTTGGATTTTGTTGACGGGAATAAATTGGAGCATTGGATGTCAATCTAGCTGATGATCCATACGTTGAATTCATGGATGGCATTTGCAAAGATCTGGTAAATCTGTAATGAGTCATTATTGTTTTATTGAGTATAGTAATGAGTAGACCGAAGTATACAAATAAATAAACAAATATATGATATATTTCGGATGGGGACAATGCAAATACATTTTCAATTTCCTCCCAGGGTCAACAACAAATGGACAAACAAAATGCAAATTTACATGGAAGATGAGCAAAACTCAGGACAAAGTTAAAACATACAAGTATGCACTCATCCACTAAAAACAGTTGAAGCCCATAATAAAATAAACCCACACGATACTAAATCGGGCAATAACTTTCAAATCTATTTAAGATAGGAGAACACTGATCAAAAGAAGAACAGGGCAACACTCTGTTGCTCATGCGTTGTTTTTATCCAGTAATCATTCTGCATTAAATTGACATTTTGAAAAATATAAACATTCTTGCAATTGCAAATTGCCATTATTAAATATTGATATTGCGAAATGGGCTATAATTTAATGTCTCAATTATTCATGGTTTCCGCAATAGTAAGGACTGTCACAAAATCAAACTGTCAGAAAATAATTTTGAGTCGTCTAGAATTATCATTGGGTATTATTATCGTTTGAAGAAATGTATGCGTAAAGTAGACATGCAAAATCAAGTGCGTGCGATGAAGGTATTTTATTGCATCAATTCTGCATCAACAGTCGGCGCGGCGGTGTGGCTCAACGGGTTAAGCGTTAGGAATACGCTCGCCAGCGCACCTCTAATTACTCTGCGTGGGTTCGCAGGTTCGAATCCCATGCAGGGATGGTTATGTGCAAGAGGATTGCTGGACTCCTCGCCGTCGTTGGGTGGTTCACGTAACCGCTGGTCGGTTACGGCTCCCTCCACCACCAAGTCCATGCTTCCGAAAACAAACAATACAGTATAACTAACTAATCCCATACCCGACTTGGAATGGTAACCGGACGAGAGGCCGTGGTTCGCCATATGGATAAGCCGTCTTATCGGCGTCCCTCTCCCCGGGATAAATATGTAAAGCCTCCAGTAAGAGTTTAGTAATGTGAAATTTTTTTACCAGAGTAAAGAAAAGGGCAATGATATTGTATATTTTTTTTATGAATAACAATATTTGTAATGGGTTCTAAGCATTATCAATGATTGCTTGACTGTGAATGTATCACAATCTGTATTAAGTCTAAGCATCTAAATCAAATAAATGGTCAACTACTCCCATACTCGACATGACCTGGTAACCGGATGAAATGCTGTGGCTTGCCATATGATTAAATCGCATCATCAGCTTTCCTTTCCCCAAGATATTAAAATCCTAACCTATCTTGCAAGAAAATCTTGTCACATTCGAAGACAATAGAGAGACTTTCGACACAGCATATGTATGAAACTGAAAACATATATTTAGGATCATGTACCTCTTGGGAAGGTCGTCCAAGGATAGAGGTGCCATGTTTCTGTCCTCGGTCAGTCTATTCTTGTACTTGTCATCCAACAGAGATATTCTACTAGTTGTCCTATCACCAGATGCTTGCTTTTCTGCTGTACCAATCAAAGAAAGAGGAGATCGATCTGGACGATTGGACACCACATGTACTACATGGTCACTGAAAGAAAAATCCTGGTTATTGTTTTAAGGTATATGTTTAGAAATATTTGAGACTCATTCTTACGATTGGATGTTTCCTGAAATCAGATGTTTTAACCAAATGCAAGAAAAAAAACTGAAAAAACCCTCGGCACACAGAAAATCCCCTGATTCAAAGAAAAAATTGTTTGTAGATATTCATAATCTTCATTCATTTTCAAAACTGAATACTGTGATACAGTATTTATGTTCAGAACATATTCATGTTCAAAAAATGGTACCTTTTATGGGAATTCAAATCAGTTCTTGAAAATGATGGTTTGTCAGGCTTCATGTAAATTCCTCTTGTGATTGCATGGTTCGACATAGCAAGTGTTGCAGAACGTGGACTCTGTGAATATGAAGATCCTGGGAGCACCTTGGTTTGTATTGTTTGTGTACTTGGTGGTACATAATTTGCAGAAGAAGTCTGTGCATCACTTGCAAATTGATAAACAATTAGCAAGCAATCTTTACATAATTGCACAATTCTTCTACAACATTCCATCTCGCATTCTGACAATGTGTCACTGCTTTTACTGAACATTGTTTCCCATGAATTACTGGTATAAAATACAATCAGTATGTTAAATACATAAAAAGCTAATTTTTCAATATCAATTTCAATGGCTGTGTACAGCAAAATCATGATACAAATAAAAATGCATAAAAAAAAAAAATTAGACAGATTGAAAACTTGGGGTACAGGTAAGATTCTTTCAAACCTTTCAAAAAAAGGAATGTTTCATATTTTGTGTCAAAAGTCTTCAGGCATTTCTAAATCACCAATGTGGTAAATTAAAAGCATATTGTCAAATTTTGAAGATACCTTGAGGTTGAAAAACAACTCCACAACCCTTGTCCATGATTAGCATGCATTCTGTTGAATACTCTATTAAAAGTTCTCATTATTTTCAATGAATCCACATTAACAACAATCCAAGTCCTTTGCACAACAGCTCGTACATTTCCACGAACTATATCAATTACCTGATGATTGATAAGAATATTCATAAAACATCATGAAAAGATGATGGTTTCGGGATTTTAGCATATGATGCTTGTTTTTTTTATTTTTCACATATAGCTGTAATATTAGTAGATTTCCACAAAATACAATTTGAAAAAACGTTGTTACCTATTTTTAATATAATAATAATTCATTTTTTCATGTACAAAAAGTGTATTCTTATCTTTTGGCAAATGTACCTTCTTTCGCTTAGCAGTATCAAGTTTTATCAGCCAGTAAGAAGCAACTCTTGATTTATGAGATTTCCAGTTATCCATGATCTAGAAACAATCAAATTATACGAAATTTATGATAAATTTGTGATTAAACAATGCTAATAATATTACATATAATGTTGTTTTTATCTGTGGTTATAGGAAGAGTATCATAAATCATTTTACATGAGCAGCAAACACTAGAACCAGGCAGCATCCACTAACATAATTACATTTAAATGTTTCTGGCTGGATATAGCAGATGATTTGTCATTTATTTTCAGCGTCTCAAAATTTCAACTTATGTCATTCAAAATTATTCCAACTTACATCATCCAAAATTCTTTCAGCTCCAGAATCAGATTTACCAGGAAACTTTATTCTTGTGTTTTTCAATGCAGTCAATGTTCTGGCAAATAATTCTTCCTCTCTTTCATGGGCTGCACTTGCTGTTAACTCATCCAAATCCAATGTCTTTTGTTTATTCGTTCTTCCACGATTTATTGGATAGTGTTTCGATTTTCTGTACATGAAACAAATCTTGTTCATTAACATTTGTGATGGACACAATTAAGATTTCATGTTTTACTTCAATGAAACAAAAAACACTACTCCTACTTCTGAATGACATTTTGCAGCGATAACAAGCCCAGCACAAGCGATGGGCTGGGCCCGGTGGTGCATACAAAAAAATTGGGTACAGTACAAAAAAGAAATAATAACACAGTCCCATAAGTATTGAATGAATTTAACAAGCCGATACAAATAAAAACTGCAATAACATTACAAAATAGCGAAGTAAGAAGAAATTGCATGACCTGTTTGAAGCTTCAGATAAAATGACATATCGAGTTAATTTATTAAAAATTAACTTGAAAACCTATTAATTTTTCAGCAATTTAGTTAAACAAACATTGTGTATAATTTTAATTTGAAATGACCTGCATAAATGTCACATATTATTATATATTGCACTCTGAAATATATTTTATTTCCCACAATCGACATGAAATGAATAAAATTCAAGATCATTTTAAGTTCAATATATAATTTGATGAAATTTCTAACCTTCCCACTTCACTGTATGAATTAATGTAAGCTTGAACGATAGCAGCATGTCCTATGTCAGCTGTCATTCCATTGGGCGCCATTTGCTGGGAAACAATACCGACATTTGGCCTAAAATAATGGTGGAAATATAAAATAAGAAGATTTGAGAATAACACACGCAATCGTTTGATTAATTCAATAATTGGAAACCAGTAAAAATTAAGTTTGCTGTCTACATTAACCTGAGCAAGAATTAATGTAAGCTCAAAATCTCGAGTATTCAATCCAAGTAATTTTCAAAAAAATATTATCTTTGTTTTATTAGTGTGCAAATCCATTTCCAGTCAAAGGTCTGTCGAAGGCAGTATAAACACACAGTTTAATTTCTAAAAACCTCAGGCTAATTCAAGTCATCTAAATATTTAAATATGGAGACTTTTCTAACTAAACAGAATAAAATATTTATAAAAAACTCATTATAAATATTTGTTTTGTCCATACCAAAATATTTATATTCGTATTATCGTTAAGTGACACATAAATATTAATGATAAATAAATGATTTCTCGAAACCAACGACCAAAAAAACCTTTTATTATCTCGCTCTCTCCCACGCAAACAATAAATTGCATGAAGTCATCACAAATTCAAAATTGACAGCAGAAAATTTAGAGAAATTATATTTATTGAGTTTAAATCGAATTAGAGACAATGTTGAGTCATGTAGCAAGACCACTGGCACACCCTAGTGAGGACAATTTATTAAGTGTACTTTATTCAGATACACACAATATAAAGGCATAATATTTTATTTGCATTTTAATTTAGCATGACTAAAGTATACTATACCTCGGATCATTGGGTCTGGTTGGTTTCTTCCCGTAATCTCTATTACTGCTGTTGCTGGTTAAGGGTCTACTCTGTACCGGTGAGGCACTTTTTGTTCGATTAGATCCTGCAGACTTTGCTCGAACTGGTGAATAAATACTGCGAGTCTGTGCACTGCCATGGCGAACCTCGAGATGTAATAATAATATATTAAATACTCAAACCAAAGCTATAATATATAACATACGTATGTTATGTACATATCTATGTTGAGGATTATTTCAGAATAACATAAAAAGGTATTATTGTCTCTAGCACCATGCACCATCTTTAATCTGCTGAATATATTTGAGCAAAAATTTGACTGTGAAAATTATATAACAAGAAAATAAAAGTATAAATACCAACCAGATGAGTTGCTCTTTCAGCTTCAGGTGATAATTTGGATATTGTGTGTCGCTTGCTTTTACTTTCCAGATTCCCATACTTCTTTTGTTCATCCTTAATTTCAATAGGAAATGCTTATCAAAGAGTAATATAGAAATGTAAGAGTGCAGAGTACAGCAATCTCCTAATTTGAAAGTATTATATGTGAACATTGATTACCAAATTTATTTTCTGTTTTGCACTGCTTCATTTGTAAGTGACATGATCATAACTGGATGCCAGAATACCACTGTCAATATGTAAAATGAGATTTGCTCTTTTATTTTTTTAGCTTCTCTGCTCAATATCCTTTTGGGAATGAAAGCGGTATATGATTGAGAAATGCATTGATTCGAAATTTACAAATAAAAGAATAGGTGAATCATTAAATTTGTGAGCTATTCCAGGGCAATTTTTTTTCGAATGTATCTGCAAAGATGGAAAATGTTTGAAATTCGTACTAGATTGGAGCTTCATAAGAATTGCAGAACGGTTCCATGGTGAGAAAACGAAAAAAAAATTTCGCCAACTTTTATCTGTTTAGTAATGTCAAGCTATCTAAATCTGGTAATTGCATTTAATCTTACTTCCGAAGAACTTGAATCAGAAGAATCACTGGTGGAAGATGAAGATCTATTTCTTCTTCTAGAAGATTTCGATGAAGGAGGTGATAAAACTGGCATGCTTGATAACAATTGAGGTTGTTGTCGTGACCTGGGATTTTCTCCAACTTCTTCGCTCTCACATTGTTCAAGTAGGTCAAGTATTTCATCTTCCTGATTTTTAATGTACCGTACCAAATTCATTAAGCCAAAAAAAGAAAAATATCTCTGCACAAATCTAGTTTTTAAAACACATTCATGAAGTCTTTGTAATAACAGAACCTACTAGATTAATGAAGTTTGTTTCGTTTTGTGATGAAAATTTTAATTCGGAATGAGCACAAGATTAAAATTTTGAAATATTTATTGAAATATTATAGTTAGAAAAATAATTTCACTGGATTGACACTACAACTCTCCCAAGTATGGTCCATATAGCATATGAATTACCAACATGGACAGAGCAACCATGATAGATGGTATACATATATAACAGAATTATATCATATTATAACAACAATAATCTTAAATAAGATTGTTCAGTCTACTGTCCAAACCAGCAAATGCTCACTTTCTGTTGTTTATACTGGTCAATGATATTCTTCTGGAAGGGAGCTGAGCGAGATTGTAGGAAAAGACTAAATGATTCTTGAAGTAATCCGAGATATCTAAGGTAAAGGATGTATATTAGCATAGAGAATTGAAAATAATAGAAACACTGAAAGGCAATTGATTACCGGTAGGTTTGATGTATGTGGAATGCAGGTTAACCAGTCAATTGATTAGTGAGAAAACAAAAATATTCAATATGTACACTGTTGACCGTGAGCAACCAATAACGAATGTTGATAAATGAGAGGAATTATGATTATACGGATTACATTCCACCAATAAATATTTACTCTAGAGAGCAAATTTCCCGATCTACCCATGTGGTCAGTCAGTTAATAAAACTGTTTTATTAATTGTTGGTAAATATCATGAGTATGAATACTTCATCATCATTTGACACTGGTCAATATGTTCATTACACTTTTATTAATCGAAAAGATCATGCAGTTCTATACGTCTACTTTTATCAAATTTTTGTTAATACTGAATTGAAACTAATTTTTTATAGCCCGTCACCTGAACGTAATTTGCTAAAATTTTGGCTCAATTACACTTTCAATTATACCTGGGGTCACCAAATTATGGCGTCCTTTCGTCTGGCCCGCATTAACATGAAAAAGGGCGAAATATTTTTCCAAGGGGCGTATTCCGAGAATCGCCTTCCCTTTTTATTTCGTAACATTAGCCCATCAGCAAGGTGCAAAAAAGTGACGTAACAATATGCCGTTTCGCATCCGTTGGGACACTCAGACAGGTTTTCAGTAGAGGTTGTAAACAAAACCTCACTTCGCGATTTCGAACGCTATTCGTTAGTTTTTAGTTGTGTTTCGGAAATTTAGGTTTGAATCAAATAAGTGAATCAACATTTTATAGTCTTCTTAGGAGTTGTAGTTTAATTAATAGAAGTAATCAAAAATTGGTCTAAAAATAGCTGCTTCGCTCTGTGTAACGTGCCCATATATTTGAGCATTGCTCTGTTGTAATTGTCACTGTAATTTGATATTTTTGCACGGAGTCATCGTAATGTACCGTAGTTGAAATATTTAAGGGAGAAATTGTAATTGAACTGAATTACTGTAATTGATCCAACTCTGATCAACATCACCATATTCTCAGAGTAAGGTTTCCAATTAATCCAATTTTGTAGATTCATTTGAATGAACTTATTGGGAAGTGGGGACACTGCTACGAATGAAAACGAAATTTTAGAAAATCTCCAAAATTTTTTTAATCTACAGCACATATTATGCTATTTTGGAAAATTTTGAAATATATTTAATAGTCATTGAAGTTAGTCAATTGTGTTCGCGATGTACCTTCTTATCTATTCTTAAATTACCGTTAGACCGCACCCAACTTTTTCCCTGAATTATTATGGATATAAGCTAACCGATGTTAAGTATATTTAATCAATTTATTATTGTACTGAAATAAATAGTGTTCCTTCAGTGTTCAACTGTCAAATCCGACAGTTGACACACATTTTATGTACACATATTGCTGTGGCATTTTCGAGTAATAATGCTTTCATTTTCTTGTAAGTCAGTTATGTTGAACAGAATTAAATTAATACGGCAATACATTTTAAATGCTGGTCATAGATTGAATATCTTACGCAAAAGAAAATCATCCCCTGAAAAAGTCGATTCTTTTAACTATTATTATGTTCAATATTACTCCCTATCATTTTCGCTCGCGAAGTGTAGGACCGATAGTGTGGCACGGGATTGGCTGGAGTAAACATTTCACAGGACGGCTTTCTAAAAGTGAATGCCTTTGGTTATTAAATACAGCTTCACAAAATTCTCAATTTTTTAAAGTAACTGGAAATGAATTCGTAAATTAAGTGGAAGCTTTGCAAGGAAAGCGTGTATATGTTCACCACACAACCATGTCGCAACAAAATATGCACCGCACGTTTGCACAGAAGATAACAAAAAATCAAAGTGCCAATTCTATTTTGTCAAACACGAAACACATTGCTGACGGCAAAAAGTGGCCTTATTTGGTATTATTCTAAAATTAGCTAAAAAAGCATTCGAATACTTTAATATTCAAATATTCGATTCATTTTGAACAATCCTGGCTACAATAGCTACTTCAGCATATTTAAGTAAAATAAGTTAGTAAATAATACTTCATAAACAAGCCAACTATGGATTAACCTATCTTGTTGCTGTTTTTCTGGAGATGGAAAGATTCTCATATAATTATTCATATTTTTATTTTCATATTCTTCTCTTGCTGAATCTTTTCTTGCCCAAATCAGTCGTTCTTTCTAAAAAGTAACATAGAATGAATATAAAAATGCCACATTTCTAAAAAAATCAAAAGTATATAAAAGCAATAACTTGAATGATATTTCAAGCAGGTAAAGGTATAGTGAGAATTTTATCATGACAGGGAATACAAATAAGAGACCAATTTTTAAATAATAGTTAGTGAACTAATTGGTATGAAAAACATTTTTCATTCTGCCATTGAACAATATTTATAGTAATAATTAAATACCAATTCCTCTTTTCTTCTATTCAAAACCAATTTTCTTTTAGCAGCTGTTGACAAACTGCTAGATGTTACAAGACGTTTATGTGATGGTCTCAGTAACCTCTTTTGAGCTTCTAACTTTTGTTGAGCCAGGTTACGGGACTTATCACTGGAGCTGAAAATAAAGCAAAAACAACTTATAAATCAATACGTGGGAATATGATCTGGACAAAAATAAGTTGTCCATGTCTTCGCAAATATTCCTCCTTTCATTGAAACAAATTAAACTGGTTAACCATACTTTATCTGACTAATATCAACTATATAATAAAAATGAACTAATTGAGACAGTGGTCATACCGTATTTAGATGGAGATACCACCAGATGGAGAAGATTTAAGGCTGTCACTCTAACAATAAAGTTGTGTTTCAAGATTATAGCTAGTTATACTCCTGCATCTAACTAATTGCACTTAACACAAATGCATTGCTGAATGTATTAGTTTATTAGGTGCTTCAGAAGTATGTGCATCAAGATGGCGGACACCGGAATGTCGTATGTGTACTAGGTAAGGGTTAGGCCATAATTTTTTTTAATTTTCCTTATTTTAGTTTTATTACGAGTTCGGTGACTAGCCAAGTGACTCCCGTAGTATTTGTACTTAAAATTATGGCCTAGCCCTAATCTGGTAAACATATGACGTCTGGTGTCTGCCATCTTGGTGCACATACTTCTGGAGTATCGTTTATTATACATAGGTATATATATTCAAAATAGTTTGACCTGTGATAATCGTACGTAAAGATGGCTTGCATGACTGAATGAATGGTAATTCTAATAAAAATTATTCATATTCCCTAATTATTTTTATTAATGCATACCGAATATTTAGTAGCCTCAAAGCATCTTTCACGACTCCACTTTTGATATCATAATCAACTCGTTCATCTGTTCCAAAACTCGGTGATCTGGAATACAGTGAAATGGTATGACAAAAAGAAAAAAAAAACAATGATGGACAGTTGGTGGAACCTGAGTTTCTACTAGAAAGTTACATTGTGTCTGTTGCACCTATCAACATAAGGATTCTCATATGTACTAGTAAACAAGAATTATACACAAATTATCATAAATGCATGAATCGTGTATCAAATTGGAAAAGGGCATTAAATGTTTTGTGATATTCTACAGCAGGGTTTCCCAAACTGGGGTCCCTAGGTCGTTTGAGCCTTTTGCTCATTAAATTAGGTCCACTGATCTTGTGGCTCAAAATTAGTTTGTTTGTATTTTATTTCTTTTTCCACCACTTGCCTCCACAAACTCATGCTCCTAGATGGGCTTGGGTCCACATAGATGCCATATAGTTTATACCGCTTGCTTTAATTATCCCAATTTTATTTTGCAGTTATTGCAACACTTTTCTTAAGAGATTTATCAGTTCGGTCATTTTCATTTTAATCCGCTACTTTATCAAAATTTTCCACTTTCATTGTTTCATAATTTCACCCAGGTCGATAGGAAAAGGCGAGTGGTACCGTAATTATAATTCAGTTACATTTTCTCCATGTTTAGAACCCATCGCCAAGTTTGCCAGCCCCTCGCAACAATTTTAAATTTGTTATTTTTGCAGATGATTTTCTCTGTGAGTTGTCGGTGTCTGCCGTTGACGTGTCTTTTAAATATCTTAAAATGTTCCATCCGCCAGACAACGTACCATTTGCCAAATATTCATAAATACCGTTTTTGTCCCCCATGCGCGGGGGAGGCCAGGGTTACTGACAAATGTACCATTGATAAATTGAAATAAAAGTTCAAAAAACAAAAATTATCCTTTCTCGTTGGTTAAGCACATAAATTGATACGACATAGGATGGGGTCCGTAAAAATAAAATTCACAAACAGAAGCCCGCGGTCCAAATGGTTTGAGAAACCCTGCTCTACGGAAATCTTTGGAACAAATAAAAAAAAGTGTTGACTGCATCTGCATGTATTTTTTACAAATAGTAAACCTAAATCTAACAATTTGCATCAGTTATCGGTGCAAATATTCCAATGACATATTTACCTGTTAACTTCCAAAAGCCATGGCTTCAATTTTCTGTCCAAAAATATATCAAATCCGAGAACTAAACAAAAGTTATATCAAAAATTTAAATCTGAAATGATAATTTATAATAAGCGAAGTCAAGAAAAAAGAAAATAAATGCTACACAGGTATGATCAGTGTCACTTCACATTGTTAAGCAAAACTTTATAAGTGTTTTATGATAAATATATCAGAAACCAGTCATTTGAGCAAAAAGATTTTCAATGGAGAATACAAAATAATTACGGTATGTTTTGGGTTACAGCAATCGGCTGATATTTTATGTTCTACATCTTTACAAAATATACACAAGAGAGCAACAGACTGAAATCTATTGGTCTGGCAAACTTAGGTTATTACACCCATTGTGGTAAGTATTCTGTTGTAGCTTACCTTCGAAGCAAACGCTGTCTGCATGTGGTGGAGTACCAGGTCTACTCATACGATATGAATGAAGAATATGAGGACTCACAACAATTAGTGTTTTCACCAGAAGATCCTGATTAAAAACAAAATATATTCTGATGAATGTAATGGATTCGTTTAAGTTGAATCCTTGAGCATCATCAGTACTCACAATAATATTCCTCCATAATGTTGTTGTATCATAACCAGCAGTACGAAGATAATTCATGAAGGATTTTACACTTCTTTTACTTCCACGATCATAATCAGCATGTCGTTCGAATTTTTCATTATATTTATTCACAGAATAATTTGTGAGATGCATAAACAGAGAATCCTATAAAAGTACAAAGATTTTATTATTATTAAATTCAAAATAGTGAATTTGTGACACATTACATCCAGATTGTAAATTTTAATACAGCTCTATTTGGGACAACCACCATTGATTGTTTTTCGCCACCAAGATTGCTACAATCAGGGATGGCCATGGCCAATACTGAATACCTCCCTATTTGTTTAAAAAACAGACTAATTTTTAGCCTGCATTATGCTTCATAGGTACTGGAATAAACACCATAATGCGAAGATGACTACTCAATTTCGACACCTCTGTGTATTCACGAGAACTGTGATTAATTTCTTACAGGATTCTCAAGCATTTTATTCAACGATGCGGGAGTTCTGTGTCAGCGCAAAGCACAGGTCATGTTAAACAGTAAAATGCCATTCGAATATTTTATTATTTTGTTTGCTATTCAACGATGCGGGAGTTCTGTGTCAGCGCAAAGCACAGGTCATGTTAAACAGTAAAATGCCATTCGAATATTTTATTATTTTGTTTGCTATTCAACGATGCGGGAGTTCTGTGTCAGCGCAAAGCACAGGTCATGTTAAACAGTAAAATGCCATTCGAATATTTTATTATTTTGTTTGCTATTCATTACTTGAATATTGTGCCTTAAGAAGTTAATTTTAAGTTCAAATTTTCAAATAATACTTTGTTGTATAAGTTGTATAAGCATTCTCAAGGAACAATTGAAAAAGGCACGCATACCCAAAAAGGTTTTATTGGATATGATTTTTTGGAGTCCAGAGTTGGTGTCTTATTAATAATAATAAAAACATGTCATGCACCTCAAGGTATATGCAAATTCTTTGAACAGTGAAATGAAACGAAGATTGTGGAAGTTAACAACAATCATAACTAGCATCCCTGTATTACGATAGTATACTCTATTAAAACAATACAGGATTATCCAAGCAAATTTATTCGTCAACCTTACCGCACTGAACTAGCAAACAATATGCCCAATATTTAATAATTAACTCGCAGGAAATTTTTTTATGAAAAAAGACTTGGTATGGTTAATCTACCGGTATATGAAACTGTCAACATAGAAGGTGAAATTTGATATCTGCTTTAATTGTTGCTACAGAATGAAAAGTTGCGTATTAATAATTATTGTCATGCCAATGAAAGCTTTAGTTGTGAAATATGCATCGAATGATTTCATGGATTAATACCAGGGAGATTCTGATTTTCTATACAATACCATCTTGTATTACTCACCACATTGCTCTCTGAAGGACTTGCATATTTTTCAGTTCCAAGTCTCACAAGGCCGTCTCGATACAAAAATGCTCGAAGTGGATCACAGTGAGTTACTAGAACATACAATCGAAGATCGATCTTGTAATCATCAAGTAAGAAGGGGCGATCAAGGTATTCCTGTACAATCATGTGTTCATGCGGAACAAGTCGCTCTGGGTTCCGAAAAAGATGAATTCTGAAAGAAAAAAATAGTTTTGCTACGAAAACAATTAATCTGGGTCCGACATCTGAAATCAGTTTTAAACATGTATATTGGCCAAACATGTAAAATAGATGGAATGTGAAAATGAGGCCCACCCATTATCCACGATTGCAAAAAACAAAGAAGAAGGAATGTTATAATCAGAATGGTAAATATAGCATCAGTCGTGACAAAGCAAAAGCAAACATAATCTTCTCTTCTTGGTGAATTCTAATTGCTCATAGTTGGGTAAATATGAGTTGAATAACCTCTTGACAATCACACAAACATAATTGTGCAAATATTAAAAGCTTATTCTTCAAATCAGGACCAATTGATAGAAATTTTATTAATTAACATCAATCAACCTCGATTTTTTCATATCTATTACAAACGAAAATTTAGTTTCGTTCAAAGTTTTATGATTTTCACAATATTTGAATATTATAATTAGATCTTTCTATTCCAATGTTGTTCTTTATGTTAGAAATGATATGTATAGTTTCATAACAACAAGTTTAAAATGAGATTAATAATGCAAAAAACATGGAATCCCACTAGTTACAGTGGTGCAGGCGTCAGTGGCCGCAATAATTTTGTGTGTATGAGTACTGGTTTATTAGAACAAAAAGTCATTAAAATCTATTGTTTGTGACTCGTGTCACGTCAAAAGAACATTTTAATTGAAGGTTTCATCTTTCACAGATGAAGGATTTCAAAATTCCTAGAATAAAATAAAACATTCATGGTGTATTGTTAGGTAACAGACCATCACAACCCCAGTTTATGATATGTCATCAAGTCATGCACAGCCATGTATAATTATACAATAATTCTGAACAACAAAGTGACTAACAAAGAAGGTGAATATCTTTCGTCATCGATTCAAAGAAGACTTTGTTTTTAAAACACATACGATAGGTAAGGGTGGAAGTGAAAAATCTAACCTTCAGATAAGCATCAATGTTAGATATATAGAATTGATATTGGAAAAAAAAATTAATTGTACATTTAAAACAACTAAAGTAACATGATATTACTAGTTCAGAGTTAATCAGGCTCAAAGGGATATTAAAATGAAAAAATATGATGATAAATGGATGCACACTTAAAATAGTTTGTCGGTTATATAAATAAAGATTTGGCTATGCCAAAATCAACGTGAAATACAAATAACCATTAATGGGGCTGGCCATTCCAAGCAAATGTTGAATTTCATAAATATTTTAAAAAAGTGCAGTAAAAGTATTTTTTTGTATTTTTTAAATCAAAAGACACTTGAATTTTATTGGACTGCATTCATTTCATGAAAAAAGTGTTTGATTTCACCCAGGTTTTTGATGGTTTACACAAAATGGCCTGAAATGTAGAAATTTTGATGTAATTGACATTTCTTGTGATGACTTGTAACAAAAAGTGTTTGATTGTTTGGTACAGTTATTCATTGCAAAAAGATGCACTGGACTTAAATTAATAAAGATTAGTGTTTGCAGTGCTGTAGATTGTAGAACATGTCTCCTTTACCTATTTAACGATTTATTGCTAGAATTTTAGGAGATGATAGAGGCCGCTGTTCCGAAGTGGAAAAATGTCACGTAGTGTCACGTACAATGTGCACATTATCTTCATGGATCTACAGTATTACATTGAGTAACAGTACATTGAGTACCAGTTATTTCATTTCAATAAGATGCACTGGACTTAAGTTAATAAAGATTAATGTTTGCAATGCTGTACTGTAGAACATGTCTCCTTTAGCTATTTAACGATTTATTGTTAGAATTTTAGGAGATGATAGAGGCCGCTGTTTCGAAGTGGAAAAACCTCACGTAGTGTCACTGTCACGTACAATGTGCACATTATCATCATGGATCTACAGTGTTACATTGAGTATATTGAGTGGGACATAGAGGGGTCCTACAGTTACTGCACCAGAAAATATTGAGGGCTCCCGCTGTACTAGCGCAACAATTTACAACACAATGAAAAGTTAATGCATGGTGGATTTGCTGTCCCGTAGAGTCACGCTATACTTTAATATATATTTTATATCCACTAAGTAAGTCTTGAGTGTAACTTACATGCAGTTTTGTTCAAACCCCATAAAGGACCGATTGGACAATAATACAAAGCATGTAGGTAGCAATGTAAAAATATATTGCATCTAACAACATGCAAAATTTCTGGAATTGTCCTATAGAGTCACTTGGAATAGCCCAATGATGCATCAATATACTTATATGCCTATATCGGATATTAAACTATAACATCAATAAATACAACTTCAAAAAGTTTTTATGAAATACTGCTTTGTAAAAACCAGCATGTATATTAATTTACTGCAGTGAGTATCGTATTTCATGCATGCTGCATTTCAAGAAATGATGAAAGTTGAATTACCCATTTCCCATAGCACCATTGGCTGGTTTCATGATGAAAGTCGGTGGTTTTCTATTCCGTTTTCTCAAATCTCTCCAATGTAAAACGAGTAAATTATACTCTGATGGCAAAATCCAAGTACGAGGTATAAAATGGTATTCGTCTGGTCTGGCTCGACTCATTCTAAAACAAATGGAAACAGTATAACATGGACTAAATGTAGAAGGTATTTTCAATTCCTAGACTTTTATCTGTTACACTTAAGATAATAATCTACTTAGTCAACAGGTAAAAGTAGCCTAGTTTAAAATGGCCTTTATCTTTAGCAGATGAAATTGCTGAAGTTTCGGACAATTTTGTAGTTATTATTATATGTGGAATTGAAATTAAGCAAGGAACACATGTTTCTTTATGTAAACATACATAAACAATTGCATATCAAATATGAAGTTTCGATAATAGAAAAAAAAAAGAAATATACTTGGCCATATTTCGTGCCAGGTAGTCCTTGCGACATATTTCAGCCATTCCAGGGAAATGATTTATATGTTGATAACTCTTTAATTCTTGAATACGATCAGCCTGTACAGCAGAATCACACCAAACAAGATATGCATGAGATGCAGTATCTTCATCACGCAGTGAAACCATACCAAGTTCTTCCATGCTTCTTCGAACTAAATAGCATAATATAGATTTCAAATAAAAATAATCAGATATGAGTTTGAGGACTTTCCATATTTACGCTAGGGAAAAAAGAGTTATAGACCTAAATAAGCTTAATCAGCTAAGCCACATTATCAGCTTTTGTAAGTGATTTTTTCAACATTATCAAGTCTCTGGATGAACAGTGGATACAAAAATTTAGTAAATTATACATGTTATTATTACAGTTTAGCCATGTGTGTTCTAGAAATATCTCTTTTTTATTTTTAATAATTTTTATCTCTCGCTTTTCGTGTCGAACGATAACAGTTTGATTTCAAGGTAAATTACCAAGATCATATCTTGTGGCTGAAGTACACGCTGTTACAACATTTCTTCTTCTCTTTTTCTTCGTCGTTGATAAACCTCCTGAAGAAATTATTGAACTTTTCGTCATTGTATCTGTGTCTTCAAAATCTAATATTCCTGACGTAGACATTCGTTGATCAAATTGCCCATGGTCCACTGCAGAAAATTGGTATTAAATCAAACACGACTGAATTCAAGATTCTGAGTTATAGAGAAATCATTTAGAAATGAGAAATTAAAGAAATATATTTGGCATAAATTACAAATATCCTAACAGGATAAATGATGAGCTAATTTCATTACTAGATTGATGTTTCATTCAATTCCAAATTAAAAACTTCAATTTGTATATAATAACCAACTTTATTAAGACAGAAAGACGTCCAGGAGCCCAGCACATAACTATCATCTAGAACAGTGGTTCCCAAACTTTTTCAGCTTGCGGCACACTAACAAGAATAAAAAGTCGCGGCACACTTTAATAAATCCTTTATCTGTAAATATTATGCATTTCAACAATAAACAAGATTTCGTGGGTCAATTCTCAATTGTAACAAGTCTTTATCGTTTTTAGCTTTTAACTTCTGTCAGTGCAGAAAAATAATATATGCAGAATCATGAAAATGGGATGAAAAAAATATTTTGTTGTACTATATATATTGTATTGCATATGTTGAACTGATATATACTGACAGAAAATACGCATGAGGAAGTTTGTGGTAAAATTAAAAACTCTAAATATTTCATGTGAAAAATTATGAAAGTAATATCACTTTAAAAGTCTCCTCTATTTCTTAATTGCTGACAGTTTAAAAATATTGTTTAGTTTAAAGTCTAGCGACTTTGCCTTGAGCAAACTTGTATTTTTGGGTCGGGGTCGAGAAAGTATAACGCTTTATATATTCAGATATTAGAGAAGTGTGGCATATTACATCACCCTTCGGTGGACACAGAATAATAAATCTTTATACAGGGTGACCCAAAAAAAAAGAACCCATACAATCTGTTCCGAATCGACTGGGTTCCTTTTTTTTTGTTTCACCTTTTATATGTGTAGTACCGAACTATACCCATTATTGATGGCAATGTAATAAAGTTCATGTTGCAGTGTTAATTATCGTGATGAAATCTCAACAATTTTATGAAAATTCGGCATACAGTTTGAGAAACCCTGATCTAGAAGTGTGGTATGTCAATGAATTACATCCAATACCTCCAGAATATAGCTACTGTTGATCATTTCGATAAATTTTACTTTATGTGTCTGAGTTTGCATGTAACGCTAGTAGGCTAGTAGGAGACTAGAAATGGTAGTACAATATGTGCATTTTCACGCCAATAAATGTACGCATCACACATCTGCTAGGTAACATTTCCTTCGTGTCAGACTCAGAGCACTGCTTATAAAAAATTGATTGATGAAAACTTTAAACACGCCCCTGCCTTCAGTGGTCATGTACCCGTTTACATCAGGAAGTTCTGAGATTTTCTTGTGCATAATTGATTAGAACGAATTTGTATAGACTCCTATTTTTACATTATCTTTTTCATTTTCATTCGGTTACCTTCAGAAATAGCATAGATAGGCTACAATTTGATATTTATCGGTCTCCCAGTCACAGTTTTTAACCTGATGGAGAAAAAGAGCCACTAAAATGCTGATATCCCCATTATTTCTTGGATGTTTTTCGCAAACTTAGTAATTGTTTTCTTATTTTCAACTTAAATCTATCAACTGACACAGATTTCAGATACTGAGGGTTTAGCATCGATAGCTCAAATTTATAGAACTGAAAACATAGCTGATTATTGACTAATCCACCCTAAATACCAGATATGGAATGATTGGACAGAAATCGGGTCAAGTGTAGTTTAGTACTTCTAGTGGGCTTGGCATAACCATTTTTGCATATGTTATTCCTAACCCCCACCTAACTACGTCAACCAGAAATTATGTCACTACGACATCACAATCGAAACCCAGTAGTTCGTTACCTTCAGATATTGTCTCCAGTGAAGATCCAAGGGAAAGGTCATTCGACGAACGAGGATATTGATTTGCAGAAGGCATATCTCCTCAAGAACTTGAATTATAATGCATACAGATACAGTGGCAAATGACAAAACAGCGCCCGCATGTAACTTTTTTTGCCAAATAAATTCTAATGCCAAACAGAATTTTTGTATAGAGATTTTAGTGTCGAATTAGAATAAATTGCCCGATTTTTTGTATTATGATTTAACAGTTTTATAATTTCAAACACATTCCCCACAAGTTCAAATAGGAAAAGTAAAAATATAAAACCATACAATTACCAGAATTTTGTTAATCCAATGTAAGATATACGTTCATAGAAAATGAGTTAATCCATATTATCATACAGTCGTCATCCAATTTGTGCATTCATTCATATTTACCAGTAATTAATCAAATTAGTTAATTTTTTGCATGAAAATTGAAAAAATTTGAGAGTGGGTGCTCGGCATTTTTCTATTCCTGTATTCATTATCTGTGTATGAATATCTAATCTAAATTATGGATAAATTTGACATTTGAATCTTTTCATCAAAGCTGGTGTTGCATAGAAAATGTCACATCATGATTGATGTGTGGGATCGTCATGTCTCTACTCTACATGTGTTCATACTGTCATACAATAATAAATCATTTCTTTTAATGTTACCGGTACTTGTTTTTAATAAATTCAATATTCCTATCAGGTGAAAAACTTAAAAATTGAACGAACTATTTCATCATATTTTACTGAATTTCGATATTCCCAAATTGTTGATTTTCCGCATATTATTGTGCCCGCACCTAAGTTACCGGTAACGTACTCGTGGCTAAATCAAAGTGACTATAAACTAGTCACTTTGTGCTAAATGAATATTAGCAGCGTCGCGCTGCCCGGGAAACAGCCACAAACATTTTGTTAGTATAGCGACATCTTGTGTCAAATAAAAATCATAGGGTCATCAAAGTTCGGCAAAAATAACGATCTTGATCGGTAAGTCTGTTGATATGTTTGTTCAAGGTCGAATATGACCGTAAATACATACTATGACCAGTGGTGGAATTTTTACTGTCGCTGTTTTGTCTTTGGGATTCGGGTATATTGTCGGAAATATGAGGCAAATGGTTCAGGACTGGACACAGTGCCAATACTGCGGACATATAACCAGTGGTGGAATTCAAATTTTTTGTCAGCCGGTTCCATCACAAGAATCATATTTTTCAGCTGGTTCTGTTACAAAAAGTCATGTTTTTTCAGTAATGTTAACCAGTTCGCTGATCTCATAAAATTCCGTGAGACGGAACCGGTGCGAACCGGCCGAATCCCATCACTGCATATTACCAGTGATGAGCTAGAAAAATTGTAACAACCAGAACGCAACTGATTCGGGAAAATGTATGAGATTTACAACACGTCCACGGACGCTCTCCTCGAATTGTGTTTCCCCTTAAAATGGCATATTTTTATAAAGTTCGTCGTCACGTAACAATTGAAAATTATCCAGCAGACCAGACACTTTTTACTCAGACTGATTTTCAAGCGCATTTGTAAACTTTGCCTTGTTGCCGCTCCAGAAGTATGCGCACCAATATGGAGGGAGGTAAATAATTTTGTTCGCCTACTTTACATCAAGTTGTGTAAAGGGACGGAAGCCTATAGGTAGGGGGCAGAGGTGGATTAAGCCGCTTTGGTGCCCTAGCACTGAAGACTTTGGTGCCCTTCGTGTGTAATTTAATTATAAAAACAAAAAAAACACGTAAGTGTATTATCCATTAAAAATAATCACAACCAACAGTAAATAAAACAACTTTTACGAACATTTTTAGTTTTTTTCAGCTGTTATATATAGCCGATATATACATCGGCATTTTACTGCCGATATGATATATCGGCAAACACGCAATATCGGGCCGATATATCGGTTGAGCTCTAATCCTGAGGGAGTGTGACAATAAAGATTCATGCCTCCAGTCTCAACGAGATTCGAAATACCAAAGGATACATATCACAACTGTAGTTTGAAATTTTACCGGTACCTATTAGTATACCTCGGGGTGGTTCAAGGTTACAGGCCCGCAAAAACTTTTGAGGAGGTCTCGCGGGCCGCAAGTCGGAGAAAACCCAAAAGTGATCGAAATATCGCGAGTTTACTCACTTTAAATTTAATAAACAACGAGAGTTTACCGTTCTAATCAAATTAATATTATGTTGCATGAGTGGCGTTCTTTAAAGACGATATATAAAGCATTCAGTTATTTTGAAGTTAATTCCCGAATTACAGTTGTATTTTGCGCATCTCGCGTTTAATGTCGCTTCAAATTATATTGTTTTGTGACAGATATTACTTGAAATCAAACCAGACACTATGTAATCGTAATGGGCAAGGAGATACGTTTCCGCCGTGTATTTCCTTATGTCACCTTTCTTGCGATACTCGTTTTATTACGAATTGTTATATTGCTTAATTTAAAAACTTGCAATTGCAATTGTCCAATTGTTGAAGAGAAAAGAATTTTTTTAAAACAAAAATGCAGCAACAAGGAGAATACTAGAAAGAAAAAACAAAAACAATTTAAGAAAACGACCTATAGGCCCATTTCGTGTCAAAAAATAAAAGTTTTAGTGTTTATTTTTAATAGACAAGGTTAATATGATACTTGAAGACGAAAAATAAGCGAACTTTTTGAAGTTTGAGTCGTCTGGTGAACTCGTAATATTTTAATAAACATCGATAAACTATATAAAATTCTGCTCTAAAATTTTTGTGGTGCCCCTCTTTGCTTGGTGCCCTAAGCACATGCTTATATTGTTTAATGGTTAATCTGGCGCTGGTAGGGGGTATATTCACTTAACTAGCACAAACAGTCCCCGAACTTGTAATAGAACCAAATTAAGGAAAATCGGAATAAAATCATGGTCTAGCCCAGTGATTCCCAAAGTGGGCGATATCGCCCCCCAGTGGGCGAAAACGATACAGAGGGGGGCGAAAAAGTCGAAGGGGGCGATTTCGCATCGTGCACTTGATTACTGTACTCACGCGAAAGGATTGCTGGACTCGTCTTCGCAGTAAGGTACGGTAGTTTGCGTATCCCAGTGGTCGTGAAATCTGGTCCAAGACGCTTCATTGAATGGACCTTTTTCTGACCCTTGACCCCGGAAAATTCCTTCCTTACTTTACCATTCTAAAATTTATTTTATCGGTGCTTATTTTAGGAGTGGTTTCGCAAGTTGTTGCCTTTAAAATGAAGTATTTGTTTCAAACTATCATTCTAATTCATACCATTCAACAATGTGTTTTTTAAAAGTACCGATAAATTTTTTTAGCCTAGTCTATCACAGCTATTTCTACACTAATTTTTGATGCTGTAATTAAACTGAAACTCCTAGGATGATCATTGACTTATTCAACTAAAAACTAACGAATATAATTCAAAATCGCGAAAATGAGGTAATGTTCACGACCACGCCTGAAAGTCTGTCTGAGTGAGGAATGTGTCTGAGCGGATGCGAAGGGGGGCATTGTTACGTTTATTTTTGCATCTTGCTGAATGTCCAATGTCATGAAGTATACATGGAAGTCTATGTCAGGGGAAGCATCCAAGCGGGGTTTTAACGATGAATTAATTTTATGTATTATCTACGCTTGAGGAGTAAATTACATTTTTTTACGTAACAGAATTTATCGTGAGACACGTTCAGACTAAATTGTATTATATCCTGAAAATTATATTGAACAGCTACTCGTTTAACGAGCCTACAATTTAATTATAATTAGACAAATGGAAACACGCAGAAATAAAATTCATATTCTATTCGAGAGATTTATCACTGCTTAATTTTTGTAAGAATGTATCTTCTTTAAAGAAAATCTTTATCAAAATTTCAGAAACCATGCGAAAATATTCACTTCGATGTTTGAAAGTACATATTTGAGCAAACAATTATTTTCGAAAATGAACAATACAAAAAGAACAAGCAAAGAACTAAGATTAGTGATGCCCATTTAGAAAATCTTCCAATCTTGGCGTCGTAAAGCTATCAAGCGTGATGCAGCAACAAGACAGTGTCACATTAAATGTCGTTATAATAATTTTTTAATAAGACGACTGAGTTGAGTTTACGAATTGTCACAGTTTTCGCACGATGTTCCGTTTTCAACTTTCAAAAAATATATGCGCTCCGCAAAATAATAGCAATCCTAAATTTTTTCCCGCAAGCGACGTAAAATTTGCGGATCCCTGTGCCATCCAAGTCCACGAATCCAAAACAAATGGCTGATTGATCCCATGGACTGGTTATCCGACTGGAAGACGTGGTAGGAAGAGGAATAGGGGATGAATTTTACCGAAGACCGTTATATATCATGTATTTTGGTGAAGGTCATCAGGCTGTACAAATACTACGGGAGTACCGCCTTGTTTATGTAGTTTTAGGTTTAGATTATATTTCCAAATATAGGAGTACTTTTCAATAACAGGTGTTTGATTATTTTAAATCAAATAGTGTTTTGAAGCGTTCAACCTGTCGGCACACGCCGGAACTTGAAAACCATTTTCAAAATAAGCATGGAAAATCTTATAATGATAAGTTATGGACGTTTCCCAGAACTTTGGCCCCAGAAAATTTCTCCTTACTGCCTACTTTATTTTTACAATAACTTTTCAGCCTATTTTGGAGTGTCAATAGCTCTTGTAAACTGGTTTACATGTTTAAAACCAAAATTGGTATTAGAATTATTCGTTTACAAATACTGATAGCTAGCTACTGATAGCTTTAACCTAGTCTACGTTTCACTGAATTATAGTGACAAAACGGCGGTTTTGACAATGAATTAATTTTATAATCTACGCTCAATGAGTAGTTTATATTATTTACGTATCAGAAATTGTTGTGAGACACGTGTAGACTGAATTATATAATACCCTAACAATTAAGTGAGCAGCTAGCTACTCGTAACGAGCCTGCAATTTAATTATAATTAGACAAATGGCAACACACTAGGGACAGTGGTTCAATGGCGCAAAAAAAATCAAATTGAGCTTCTTGGTATGCAATGCAATTTGAGATGCAATCCAAATTTGACAAGCCATGCAAAATATTTGCATCGATGTTTGGAAGTACAACTACATATGCGTGCGAACAATTATTTTTCGAAAATCAATCTTATTCAAAGAATCCTTATACAATCCCTAAATCCAATCGAATGGGCCGACAAAAGCTAAAACAAATGACATATGAATACAATAATCCTCTGATTGGCAGAAATAAATGTTTACGTAGCAACTGGCAAATAGCCTGTAGGAAATATTAGTACCTTGGACAAAATGATGATTCAGATAGATCTAAACTAGTCAAAAAAATCTTCTAATTCGAAAAATCACTTATCTAACAGATCGCTGTAAATAATCACACTCTCATACTAATTAGGGTAGGCCAAAACTCAAATTGTCTCTTTAGCAAAAGCA